ATATATATATATATATATATATATATATATATATATATTTTTTTTTTTTTTTTTTTTTTTTTTTTTTTTTCGGTTGGCACTACAGACCATGAAGATCTTTGGCCGCGAGATGTGGTCTCCTTACAGACGTTTGATACTTGCGGGAGCACAGATAGCCTGGACGGGGGTCACCCAACCTCACGTTTCTACAAACCATGGTTTCCATGGTGTAGCGGCAGGCCATCCGTAACTCCGTAGCCTTTGGGGCCAATCTGGCAATGTCCTTCCCACCGACTTTCTCGGGTTCAAGGACAGTGAAAAATCGTTCTATATCCATGGGTTATGGCAGCCCCGTGGTAGAGTAATAATTAAATTATTTATTTCTCTTTAGGAAATAAATTGTATCCTTTCATAAAAAACTAATTGAGTTATTTTTCGGGTATTTACCCCTACAAATACTCAAACCTTTATATTTCTCTATAAAAAGTTTATACAATTCCTATCAGTACGTAGAGCGCTTTGACCCACCAAATGTTTCTTGCATAACTTAAGGAAGCGCGTACGTGACAAAGAGATTTATTTTATTTTTGTTTGATTTTTAACACACTTGAATCTAAAAGAGGTTAATTGATCTCAATTAACCTAATGAGATCTAGATAAACCTCTTAACGTACTTTCTCTACGTTGGGATCTAAAACCGATATTGACGTAATTTTTCTTCCAATACCGTAGTTAGAAATAGGAATATAAATATAAAAATCTGGTGCGCACATCACACGACTTTCACTTACCAACCTCTTCTTCTGTGTTTGTGTTAACAGTCTAGCTCATAATCGAAAAGTAGTACGAAACTGATATTAAGTATTTAAGGTTTGTATATGGGCCAGATGTGACAGCAACTTTTCTGTTAAAATCGGCTAACCGGAAGTGCCACTTTTTTTTCTGTCCTGATGATTGGTGTAATGTTGACGTGTTATTTTCTTCTATATCTACAATTTAAAGACACAAGACTGTGTGATTTGAACTCTCTGACAATAACCTAACATCGATTTTCTGTCTCTTGGTGAGTTTTTACTCGTTAACATTGACTAAATTATATTGTATATTACAATCACCACAAATATCTTACCTTCACAAGATGGGGACACGTAATAACGGCCGCCACACTGGAACCGAACACCCAATGGAATAACAACCCATCTTTTCCATGTTCTTCAGCCACTGCGAGTATGCAATTCACCCCCCCTGAATAATGAACATTAATTATTTACTCGGCATTTTCATCTTTCATAAATCAATTGCCATCGTGTATAATTTATACTGGTAATGCAAACCAAAAATTGTATTCCAAAGATCAATAAATCTAGTCTAATAAGTGTAAATTACCTCATACTTACTATCAATGGTTAACATGAATAGTGTTTTGTAGAAGTAGTAGAGGTTTCCGATAACAGGGAAACCCAAGACACCAGGATAAGAATAGAGCTTCCGCACTCGAAGCCAGAGAACAACGCCATAGACGAGGTTCGCCATTAAAATTGTCAGAATAGCGTATACAATCGTCTCCATCATCCTAGAAATATATAAATAAACTGTAATTAGTCGTTTACTGGAAACCAGTCTATGGCAACTATCGGTTGGTAAAGCAACGGGTTCCCATCTCCCCAAGGTCGATGGCGCAATAACCTATCCTCTCCATTCCCAAGATATTTTATTATTCATCTTTCCTTAAAAACAGAGCAAGGTAGAATTTAAAAAATCGTAGATCATATACACAGTAACACAAATTTTTTTTTCTCCCTTCCTTGCCTTTTAGGCCGGAGAAGAGGGCGGGGAATTATGCCGTGTTAAAAGTCACACCGGGCAGCATATGAGCGGAAAAAGTACGGTAAGTTGCGTTTTTCATTAAATCATGGATAATTTGTGATGTTTTTGCATCATCCTACATATGAGCCGTTTATTTTGAAAGTGGCCTATCACCATTTATCTTCGAATCGAGATATTTAAGGGTTTGCGTTTCAATGAATTTAAAAATATACGAAAAGAATACTAATAAGTTATACTGCTTAAGTATATCTAAGTGTGTTAAATTTATGATTCCTATTAAAATAGTAACAATTATTAAGTGAATAATGTGCGTTTTCTTATCAAGAAGTTAGGCCACTTTCAAAATTAATAACCAGATTCATTATAAAATTTGAAGGCACCCAAGTCCATTCAACATAATTTAAGATGCTTCAAATTGAAAAACACAATACTCAATTTATTTTACATATCTTTAAAACACTCCGGAAACACAATTTATGCGATTCAAAACATTTTTTAATAACACAAAATAATCATCACGTTACCTGAACATCTTCTAATATTCACCGACGGATCCAAATCAGATACATCTACTGCTTCAGCCTTTGTAACTCCTGATACTACCTACAAATATAAATTACACCATCTTTATAGTGTTTACACAGCAGAGATTAACGCCGTAGCAATGAGTCTCCGATACGTCATGAAGAAGCCAGTTGCAAATGTGGTTGTTGTATCGGATTCCCTGAGTACTCTGAAAGCTATGAATAACTTGTATCCAGACCATCCAGGAATACATTGCATTCTAAGTCTTATAAAAATGCTTCATGAAGTTGGAACAACGGCTCATTTTATCTGGTCGCCTGGCCGTATAGGAATTAAAGGAAATGAAATGGCTGATAGAGCAGCAAAAGAAGCTCTTCCAGGCCGCGGTAAAGTTTTTTTGACACCATCTGAACTTGCACGACCTCTGAGAGAAACAATATTCCAAGAATGGTAAAGACGGTGGGACAACAGCGCACCTAGAAAATTAAAAACAATAAAGAAAGAGGTGCAACCGTGGACCAGCTCCAGACGCAGCAGTCGTAGAGAAGAGGTCGTCCTCACGCGGCTGAGGATCGGACATACTAGACTGACACACCTCCACCTCATAACAAAAGATTCTATCCCCAGATGTCAAAAGTGTAACCAATCACTAACTATAAGACATATTTTGGAAGAATGCCCTTTTTACACCGCAAGATTAAAAGATTTTGGAATACCCCAGAATATATCAGCATCCCTGAGAAATCAAGAAGAAATCGTGACCAAAGTCATCAAGTTCCTGGATAGTGAAAGACTTAAAAAACACATTTGACAGGCTTTTTTTATCTATTTTTTTTTATTTATTAATTTTGTTTAATCTATTTATTTTTATTCTATTTTCTCTTATTATTACTATTATTTTTCACTTGATTTCATTTCATTTTAAATTCATTTGTTTTTTAATCTCAATTCATTTATTGATTCTACTGCTATTTTTTAAAGTTTATTTATTTATACATTTTTTATACATCTTATTACCTATAAATGTCTATTATTATCCTTATTTATTTATTTTATTCTATCAATCCATTTCTTTATTTATTTTATTTTATTATTTATTTTTTTATTATTTTTTTTTATTTATTTTTTTTATAATTTTATTTTTTTGTACCAATCATCCAAATAGTATTAAGAGATGTTATTTAGTTGATCGGGCGCTTATGACCTGGATGTTTTGCGTCTAGACATCGAAACAAACAAACAAACAATAACACAAAATACAAAATTACAAACATTTTATTAACAAACAATTAACTATTATCTACATTTTGCGCGTGTGAAAGGGATTTGAAGTAATCATGATGATAATTTAAACAAATCAAAATATAAAAATAATTTATCCAATAATTGCCGTAAAGAAAATATTTGATCAATAGTTGAACGGATCTATATAAATCCACATTGTTTGTCACCGATGATTTCCTCATCATTAGTTAACATTAATTTGAATATTTTATAACATACGGGAAGGAGTGAAATTCCTCGATAGTTATTACAATCAGTCCGTGAGTCATTTTTTATAAATCGGAATAAGAATAGATTCTTTCCATTCTTCAGGCAATTTCTCTTTCTTCCAGTTCTTTTTTAACCAATGAATGTATTTTACAAACTACAGCTTTTCCGCATGTCTTAATTAGCCCATGCAATTTTATCGATTCCTGCTGCTTTTTAAGATTTTAGTTTTCCGATTACTCGGTTCTTCTATTAACGATTTAGCACTCTGGTACTCAGGAGGACACAGATCATTGTTTTTCCGTATTTAAAATATTGTCAAGTTGGTTCTTAAACTTATTTAATATTTTTACCGGATTGGACAGAACATTGTTAACTTAATCCTTGTACCCTTCCATTGTTATTGAATATTTACAATGCTATATTAACCATTTAAAACACAATAAAGTTACCTGAACTTCCGTGTTCCCTGAAAATGGACCTTTTCGTACTAAGAGTGCGCAATACACAACCTACAATGAGCGCTGCCACTTTCAATGCAATGAACTATCGTTCGCTAATTCTTATGTTAATAAACTGATTTATCTAAATGGTAATGCTATTCATTGGTTTGGTTTTCCTCCACTGGGCCGGAAATGAGGGCAAAGGTTGTAAATATTTTAGGCCTAAAGCCAGCGACCAAAATGCGACTGACATCCTGGCTGGCGAAGGCTTGAATGTAAATTACGAGAATGTATGTTATTCTAAGTAAAATGAACCTTTTCTATCATTCCATAGCCGCTGTTTTAAAAAATGGTGGCTGATTTAAAGATTATTAGGTTGATTAGCTTGAGGATGGAAATAGAAAATATATTACGAACAATGTGAGAAAACGGCTCTTTTTATTTATTTATTATTTTACTTGTATATATTGGTTCAAACATGTGAGAAAAAAAATCTAATAGAGGCCACCAAGGTATAACTTTTTAAAGACAAAAAATCCCGATTTTTTAAATATTTTTTTGCTATTTCGCCTATAACTCCGTTACTGGGTCATTTTTATCTCTCCAATCCATTATATCTCCATATTTGGTATTAACAAGAGACAAAACTGCTTTAGAGTCCTGTTATTGTAAATATTATTTCCTCTGGACAAAGGTAAATAACATTGAATACCAAATATTAAAATGAAATATATAAAAATATTTATTTTTTTCTTATATTTATTGATCACATTATTCAAGAGTCCTATTTACATGTATGAATTTCATCATATTTAGGTTTTTAATTAAGTAAATAAAATTAAATAAACATTTATTTATATACATGATTTACAGTTCATTTTTAGTCGGTACCACTGACTCTATGTTTTCTTTTAACTTCAAAGAATCCCAAAAGTTTTCTTCTCCCAGCTCATCGACCATTGTTGGTACAAGTTGGTTTGGACCCTGGAAGTCTGTAAAGGTGATCTTAGGGAGATTCTGGTTGAAAGTCGGAACATCTAGTGTGCTGTAAATAAATTTGATAAAATAAGTTTTATTTTTTTTAATAGCCTATATCATTTTTAAAAATATATTCGAATCACTTATTTTCAAGTGATTATTCAAAAATTAAAACTGATCGGTCTTTTTGGAAATGAGGAAGTATAGGTCCTTTGTAAAAACTTTAATTGAGGCTTGATGTTACATGATTGAAATTTGATTTTATAAAAAAGGCATTGTCTTCATGTTGCAGTCTTTTATCTGACCTTCATCAGGCTAGATAAAATAATAAAATTGTCAACAATAAAAAATGTTTGCAAAGCAATCAAATAATAATAAAACCTAATTTAAAATCCAATCTTAATAAATTATTCAATAAAAATGGTAACCACTGAACTTATGGTGGCCCCCCTCTCATGCTTGTCAAATAAGGACTAAAAATAAAAATAAAGCTATTGACCAGATGGGCAATCCCTACCCCCACCTCTTGTTCACATTGGCTGCCACTAATTTTATGCGGTCAGAATCCTCAAATTTGAGTACTTTGCACAGTCATGCATATTAGTTCATTTTTTATAATTCTATTGTTAATTTCTAATTTTTCTAAAAAGTACATTATCCCAATCGAAGGATTAGCTGTGCAGGAACAGTGGCTTGGCCTGCGTGTTCTCCAGACCTTACACCACTGGATTTTTTTATTTGTGGTGACATTAAACGAAAAGTCTATGCAAGTCCGGTCAATGACCTAAATAAAAAAATTACATAGGTATCTGTACGAAAAGTGAAATGAGGCTGACATATTTAAAATACAAAAATATTATTCTTACATTTATTCGGAATATTGATTGCTGAGGAGATGGAAAAATAAATGGTGTTTGAATGAGGTCAAGAATGAGAATTTACGTACGGAAGTAGTCATGGAATTCCAAAACAAGGTAGCCCCTATGAGAAAGAATTTTTTAAAGGAAACAGTTCTATAAGAAGGAATAAACAGGTTTGGGGGCTGGAATCCCATGGTAAACGTATGGAACGAGGAGCAACAAGTTAACAAATCAAGAAGGTGAGAGGGTTTCGGAAAAGTAAACCACCTGGGAGATTTTGCTGTCGGAAAACTGGGTAGAGTCATTTAACTTGGCGTACCAACTTGGAACCTGGGGGTTCCAAAGATGAATCTAATGAAGCAATGATAAAAAATTACTCCCAGACTTTTTACAGAGGTATGAAAATGAATAGGTAGTTCATTGAGGTATAATAGTAGATTAGAAGGAATGGAATTGATAAATACGGAGTGGCATTGATATATCATGAGATATTGATTGTCCAGTTACTGTAAGCAGTTATTCATTGTTCCTGCTTCTCCATTCGTTAGTTCTCTGAACCCAGATTATTTCAGTTACCATGTGAAGGTTTTTGCTCTCAAATTTCCAAGTAATCTTTCTTGGGTACCAATTAGTTTGGTACCAGTTTTAGTTTTGGTACCAATTAGTTAACCAGTGCCTAGTTATCGATGTATGTAGCAGAACTGGGTTTCTCACAGTATTGTACGATTTGAAATTTTTAAGGACTTCAGAATCCTTGAAAGAATCCTATGATTGCTCTATTTTCTCTTGTTATATTTTGGTCTATTTAAAGATATTATTTAAAGAGATTATTGTAGAGATTAAGTATTTGAATCTGTCAGGAAATATTTTTTTCTATCTTGGGCTAGATTTTTTGACTTACTATTGTACATGTATTTTGATTTATGTCCAATTAAGCGAGGCTTATTTTACCTACTTCATTTACCAGAGTTTTTGTGAGTCGCTTAATACCCTTCTGATTGCTTCTAAGGACGGTTATATCATGGATATACCCTAGAATTTTAATTGAATAATTCACTAATTCTGAATTTCAACAATCCATTTCCACCTGATGTTCTTACAAACATTTCTGGTTCAAATTGAACAATATCGGCAAGAGGTCATCTTGTCCCAAACCCAAACCAAACGAAGGTCTCAAATACTTCTCCTCATTTAATGACTTTGCATTTAACATCGTTAATGCCTTCTTCACATTCTCATTAACTTTCGAGTAACACCCAGCTAAATCGTGATCTTTCAAAGACATTTTCTATCCAGGAAACCTTATTAATATATACAATATATCTTAAATTTGACCTCTTTCTGTCCTAATGATACTTAAACTGATGAAATGTTTACTAGTTCATTATTTATTAGTAATTAAGAGACTTCATGGTTTGTTTTGGAATCTTCCTTAAATATATTAACAGTAAGTTTTGCCTTACATTAAAAATATTATATTTTTTTTTGTCACTTTTATAATATGGGTAATCAAAACATATTATTAATAGTTATACATAGTTATATATTAGGCAGACCGGAAAGTAATGTCGTTTCCGAGCTTATCACTATTTGGTTGTCATTTGGCAGATCATTGTGTACATGTATGTCGTGGCGAAGGCATTCAAGGTTAGATTGACATTTTTAGTTGTAAATACCTTTTTTTTTTTTTTTTTTGGCAATTTCTAGTTAAACGGTCAGTCAAATACCAGAAGACGTATATATCCGGCATTGCTTTTTGAGGTTCGCAAGGATAGTAACGCAACAGTTGTTACCAAAACATTTGCGATGTTTATCCAAATGCACTAGATGTTCGTAAATGCCAAAGGTGGTTTTTCAAGTCCAAATTCAGTAATTTTAATCTTTTCAACTCGTATCGATTAGGAAAACTGTAGATAATGACGTCGAAGCAAGTCCTTGTCAGACAATCATTTGTCAAACAGTTTTAAGCAATCTTGGTTGATCATGCAAGAATCTTTGTAACAGATTGAGAACCCACCAATTGAAACTAATTGCTCCAACGACACAATACAGAATTGATCGCCTTAGATGAAAAATGGGTCCTCATCTAAAATCCAATGATAATCCGAAACGCAAAAGGCAGTGGCTCTCTCTAAGAGAATCCTCACGAAATACTGCTAAGCTAGATTTACACCCGAATAAAGAGCGTTTTGTGTGTTTGGTGGAGTATTCCCGGCGTTGCTCATCTTGAAGTGCTGGAAAAACTGTGAATGCACACCTTTAAGGTGTAAATTTGGATCTTGTAAATCAATCTTTAATTTAAAAGAGACCAGCGATTTTCAAAAGAAAAGGCGTCATTCTGTAACAACAAGATGCAAGATCGCACTGCTTGAGACGAACTCTGGAAAAAAATTAATGAATTGTGGTAGGAAGTAGAGACTCATCTACCATACTCAGCCGATGTTCCACCATCGGATTAACATTTGTTCGAATCGTTTCAATACTTTTTAGGTGACAAAAGATTGAGTGGGTGGGGTGGTCGAATGGGGTAACGCGTGTGCACAGCACATTCTTACATCGTTTCAATGTAATGACATTACTTTCCGGTCTTCCTAACTAATACTTTTTATCAAATTATAAATTATATCACCTGTTAGCTGCAAACGAGACCCACAAGTCGATTAGTTCTCTTGATACCTGTCTATCTGCTTCAGTCTCTTGTGTACTTGTTTGTTTTGCTGACAATACATACATCAAATCTTCGCCGTGGGCAACTCCTTCAATACAAAATTATTTGATTAAAGAAAATAATATAAAAGTAAGGTATTTGAATTTGTAATTTTTTTTTTTTTGTATCTCCTGTCACTTTTTTGTTGCTTATTCAGAACTGTTACAGATTTGTCGAACAAATATGATTTGAAGGTTTAGATTTATTTGACAAAATTTAACCCGCAATGAGAAAAGTTTTGTTAATAATGGTTAGGGTTTATTTATGAAACAAACACTGATAATTAAGAAACGTTTATAGTGGAAGAACACTACAAACACAGAAGCCATATCGAGAGAGTATACATTGTTGTGATCACTGACGTCACATCTGACAGTGTTGCCAGTAACAGTGTTGTAGGTAGAATATACAATAACAAATAACATCAATTAATTAATCCTAACACTTTTGACGCTCTGAAGATTAATATTGCTAAGTATTTAGAAAATTCGTTATTCTCAAAGTTAACCAATTTTGTGTTTATTTATTATTTATTATAAATTTTCAATGAAAAATTAATTCTTTTATAATATATGATTTCTAACTATAAATAACTATTAAGACCAGAAGAAAATTTTTATTATTAAGTTAAAAATAACCAAATTTTTCTAATTCATATTTATAAAAATAATTAGCGTTAAAGATAACACGGTTTAAATTCCGTTTTTTTCCCTCAAGCAAGTATCCTGTTATATTTAAGATAAAATAAAATTTCATAAAATTCTATTTCTTTATTCATAAAATATGTTTAATGAAATGTTACTATGATGAAAAATTATACATGAAAATTTGTTCCTGAGTTTTATAATTAATATGACAGATTTAATTAGACAGCATATTTATGGGAACTGATATTACTAAAAATGATGGATGATTTTAGAAATCTCAATTAGTCCTATCTCGATTTATACATCCATATCAGAGTTTAGGAATATCATACTTCTTTCAATGACTTTTACTAAAGTTGTAGTACGAATTTACCGAAATTAAGATTCGTCACTTAACTATGAAATTTCCTTTCGTTTGAAATTCATCAAGATCTGTTGCTCCTGAGAGCCGCAAAAGGGATTTATAATATATTCAGGATGCCTCAGTAATCAATGGCAAAACTCTATGAGGTGATTTCAGACAAAATTTCCAACAAAAAAGATTGCGAAAGGAAAAAGAGTTAAGGCCAATCTCGTGTCATTCTTAAGATGGTCACGTTTTTTATTGAATAAGAAGGAATTGTTCAAAAACTCTTCAAGATAATTAGATTCTCAGTGCACCATCGTAAATTAGTGGAACTTTTCATTACGATTTTAAAATTAACTTTCATTACGCACTGCTGTTACAGTACCCAAACACGAGCAGTACAGTCTCCTGGGCAGCAGTATAGCGGCCGTATTAGATACGTTCCTTGAAAGTTAATTTTTTCATTAACAGTAAATTTTTTTTTACTAACGATATTTAGAACTGTATTAAAGAAATACATCTAGTAAATTTGAACATACGGATATAATGACATGAAAACACTTGCTGAGTAACTACCCAATGGTAGCACTCTAATGATATGTCTACAGTAGAAGATCACGGGGCCATGTTATTTTCAGACGCCTCGGAGGGTTATCAAGAATTGAAGAGGAAGCAAGGTTAGAAACGAGAGGGTTGGGATGATTCTGAAGTTTATTATGGAAGGATAGGTATCTGGATTGGGCCAGATCTGAAACATAAGAAACATTAAGGCCATTATGGATGGTTTTATTTGTAACAAAGTAGGGAGCATTGAGGATTTTACGAAGGATTTTGGATTGTAAGGGTTGGATACGAGAGGAATTCGATGCTTTAGTGAAGCACCATAGCTCAACTCCGTAAGTCCAAATAGGCCTTATTATAGTCATGTATATGAGTCTTTTGTAATTAATTGGAAGTTTAGAGCGTTTGTCTAGTAAGTGCTGGAGTAAGCTGAAACGTCGAGCGGTTTCAGTCTGGTATGTAATAAATTTAATCACAGTTTTCTTAAACAAAACTGTATCTACTTTACGATGATGTACTTGGAATATAATTATCTTGGACAGTTTTTAAGCCATTTCTTCATATTCACTAAAAAAACGTGTCCACCTTAAGAATGACAAAATTGTTTTAACTCCTTTTCACTTCGAAATTGGCTCCCATCACTAACGAATTCAGGATTTAATTTGGAGCGCACTTCAGCCGGAAAGATTTTTTTTTTTGGTGTATATATTTGGATAATTGCTTCAGAATGAAAGAAGCTAACTACCTATATGAGATGATGTTTTAGTGATTTCTTAACTCCTATTATATGTAATTAGACAAACAATAATACTTTTAAAGATAATTTTTTTTATAAAACATCGTTATATTTCACTATTTTGGGAGAGGAGGGGTCCTTCAGTCCAAACGCCCCCCTCCACCTCGTAGACCCGATTGTGGCTTCCATACATCAAATTTTGTCTAGAATCGACTCCCACAGTTTGGCAATTAAGAACTTTGGTAAAATTTAGCCATATGATAATATGGACATCAAGAAAACCTAGGTTATTTAGTACAGAAAAATTGAATACTAACCCATATCCTTAGGCATTCCCATCGTCGATGCATAGGAATATTTCCCAGTATATGAAAACCTGAGCATGTAGACTGGTGAAGTGTTGATGCTGGAATGGACTCTGGCCATTTTGGCTGTTCCAGCTACGACTATTCTATCACTCAAAGCCTGAAACAACAAATGAGCCTGATTTATATAAAACAAAAAATATATGGATGTTAAATATAATTTAAACACGAAGAGTTGGCCGGAGGGTGGGGGCGGGGGATGGCTAGGGGTTAGGTTGCGGTCATATGAATACTATATGATTTTGTTGTGATAATTTTATTGTTTACGCCGATGTTTCGCCCCACTTTGTAGATCTTAATCAAGGCTACAAAAGATACAAAAAATAAAAGGTACATGGTGAAAAAAAAAAAGAATTATTAGTGATATTAAGCACGAAATAGTTAAATAGATAAAGAAATATTAAGATGACATCAGAGATACATTGTCACAATGAAGTTAAAATATCATGTATTACATATATATATATATATATATATATATATATATATATAATATATATATATATATATATATATATATATATATATATATATATATATATATATATATATATATATATATATATAAGATAATAATAATATAATAATAAAAGACTTAGTGAACCCGAAGGTTCGATGCTGACACCACCAATCGCTTATTACACACCTCCCTCCACCGTTCGCCGTCCAAACCCAGTCACTTCAGATCGGCTTTAATGCAATCTTCCCATCTTCGCTTCGGTCTACCTCTCGGACGCTTACCATTCGGCACAGCAAATATTATCTTTTAGGAATTCTTCGTTACTAAGCCCAACAACTTTACAAGCGCATTTGGCTCGCCGCGACGAAATTACCTCAGTTATATTACCCGGATACAGTTCACGCAATTCGGCGTTGTGTAACCGTCTGAACTCTCCGGTTAGCTCATCCTTCTTCGGTCCAAATATTCTACGCAATACTTTATTTTCAAAAACCTTAAGACGCTGCTCATCCCTTAATGTAAGCGGCCAAGTTTCGCATCCATAAAGAACTGTAGGCAAGATAATTGTTTTATAGATTCTAATTTTTAAGTTCCGGGACAAGAGGCGCGAACTGAGTAGTTTTGTCACAGAAAAATAACAAGCATTTCCGCCTTCAGTCTAACCTTAATCTCTTCTTCAATTTCGTTTTTTCTAGTTATCGTAGAACCTAGATACCTAAATTTATCTACCTGTTCAAACATATTACCATCTATATCGATATCACCCGTAGTATCACCATTTTTGCAGCTAACCATATATTTTGTTTTATCCACGTTTATTTCGAGTCCTATTTTTTTGCCGGCTTTCATTAACGTTGTCGTATTTAGTTTTATAGTTTCAACGTCTTCGCTTAACAGTACCAGATCATCAGCATAGCCCAGCACGGATGTTGTCCCATCCAGATCCAACCCTTTCTCGGTTCGCATTACTTCCCTAATGGCATGTTCTAATGCTAAATTGAGCAGTACAGGCGAAAGGGAATCCCCCTGTTTTAAACCCGAACGAACCTCAAATTTTTCCGACAGATTATTACCGATTCTAACTTTATTGAGTGTCTCCGTCAAGCACATCCTCACTAGATTTACTAGTTTTTTTGGAATCCCCTGCTCGATTAGAATATTATACAGTTTCTGGCGGTCAATAGAATCGTAAGCATTTTTAAAATCTATATACAGCTGGTGAACAATACCGTTATACTCCATTTTTTTCTCTAATATTTGCCGTAAAGAAAATATTTGATCAATAGTCGAGCGATTCCGTCTAAATCCGCATTAGTAGTCTCCGATAATTTCCTCGGCGTATTCCGTTATTCGACTGGTTAAGATTAAAGTGAATATTTTATAACATACGGGAAGGAGTGAAATTCCTCGATAGTTATTACAATCCATCCTCGGGCCCTTTTTGTGAATCGGAATAAGGATAGATTCTTTCCATTCCTCAGGTAATTTATCATTCACACAGATCTTTTTAACCAACCGATGTATTTTAGAAACTCCAGCTTCCCCGCATGCCTTAATTAGTTCAGTAGGAATATTATCGGTTCCCGCTGCTTTATAAGATTTTAATTTTCCGATAGCTACTTCAACTTCCTCTTTACTTGGTCCTTCTATTAACGGTTCAGCACTCTGGTACTCAGAAGGAGGAAACAGATCATAATTTCTCGTATTTAAAATATTGTCAAAGTGGTCCTTAAACTTATTCAATATGTCAACCGGTTCGGTCAGAATATTGTTATTATCATCCCTAATTCCAGACGTTACGGGCTCTACACATTTTCGTGATCTGTTTATACCTTTGTACATGTCTCTTACGTTATTTTCGATTCTATTTCAATTATTTTATTTTTAAGATACTCCCTTTATTTATTTTTGAGCAATTTTGTCGTTTCGTTCTTTGAGGTTCGGAAGTATTCCAGATTGTCTTCGCTAGGATTATTTAGAGCTTTTAATTTAGCGGCTTTTCTTTTTTCGCCAGCTATGTTGTATCAAGACAGGATCGATTTGATTTCGTTTTTGCGAATCCGGTGATGTCCAAGTATATTTATGAATATCCTTATGTTTAAACGTCGTACTTTTAATTATCAGGTTTTTCGAGATGGCAAAGTTTATCAGACAGATCCCATTATCATTACTATATTCGTGCAAACTTTCTTTACCAATCGTCGGAATATAAACTTCTTCCTTTCCTACCTTTGCGTTCGCATCACCTACAATTATTTTCATGTAGTTTCGCGGTAGTTTATCATAAATCCATTCGAGTTTATCGTAAAATTCACTTTTGACTTCATCGTCACTGTCTTCGGTCGGAGATTGTATGTTTATTAATGCGATTTTAAACCAACGTCCCTGAAAATATAGCTACCAAAATTCTATCACCAAAGAAATGTACGTCCCTTAAAGCGGATAGTAATCTACTCCTAATTAGAAACCCGGTACCTAAACAATGATTCCTGCTTCCTCCGTACCAAATAGTGTACTTTCCTTTCCTCATCGAGCCCTCCCCTGGTCAGCGAACCTCTTGCAGAGCCACAACATCCGATTTGTACCCATTTACCTTATTTGCGACTGATTTTAACCCCCTGCTGTGTTTAAACTCCTTACGTTCCACGTACCAATATTTACATCCCTATATTTCAACTTGCACCATGAATCCCTTAAAGCAGTCCCCACCCGGAGATCCAAACGGGGGACTAGTTTACCTCCGGATAATGAGCGTTTTATCTTAGGGAGATCCATGATTATTTGTGGTGTTTGGTGAACTAAAGATATGTGAGTAGGGCGTTCAATCCTACGTCACACCCTCCAGCAAGTCTGGTGGGCCCCTACCTCCAGCAAGTTTGGAGGTCCCCTCCCTCCAGCAAGTCTGGGAGGCCCCTCTCATTGTTGGTCAGCGACTCCATCGGACTTAGCCGGGAGGAACTTCCATGGAATTTCCACCGACCATCCCCACATCCGCCACCCGTAAGACGCTCCCCATACGCGGTAATGAGCCCGCGCGAGGATATATATATAAGATACAAACAAAAATAGAAAATAGGTGTGAATAAAAATATAAAACAAAGGTGAATATAGCATGTTAAAAATAAACAGATTGTGTTAATTAAATGATGATCGGCATGTGATGAATGGCATAATAAATTAAACACCTTATTTATTTGACTTTAGCGATGAATGTCAGTGAGATATCTCTTATTTCTAAATTGAATGAACAATACCTTGAGAAGGTTCTTCTGGCCTTCTTCAGAATCTACATCGATGTTGTAATGGTTTTTAATCTCTTTGGATACTTCTTCCCTCTTATCAGTAGGAGCTGTGTAATTGTAATCAAACAGGTATGGCGCTATTCCGTTCCAGTCAGCTTTAATCTCGTTGTTCAGATTGGGATTGGTTATTATATCTGTAAAAGTTATAATCGTTAAATTAAATATTCCTTAATAACGAACCAATGATAAGTTTGATTATTACCTATTGCAAAAAACATTCCTTCGTCCTTAGTGAATGTAATCATCATGGGCACATCCGAACTCTTTCCTTGTTTGATGAGGTTGATCGGAGTGTCTGGAAGGAATGCGTTCGGGCCTGGAGGCTCCACGACCGGGCCAAATGGAACTACCGGGTTGTAATACCAACCCTGAAAAAAATCAGTTGTTATAATTTGTGGCTCTGTTCAACTTAAAGCACACCAGTGAAGTTTTTTTATCACTTTAGTAACAGTGATTTCGCAGTTAAAAACGATTTGTAGGAAGATTCCAACACGATCACCTGGACTATCACAGGATCACGTCGGGGTCACCACTTGTTGGGATATCCACAGCACTGATATTACTCACTCTATTTTTTTATCTTTACTATTCGTCTTTCTGTCTAATCGATAAGCAAGGAGATTCGATCAGAGATCGATTTGAATACAAAATGTAAAACCGCTATAAAACTACTCATACCAAATATGATCCCTGCAACTAGTTTAAGTAACTGTTCTTAACTGTGATATCTCTAAAGTGATAAGTACTTAAAGTAGAAAATAAATAAAATTGAATATAAATACATTTACATTTGTTAAATTTTAGTTTTAAACTTACCAAGAAGTTATTCGTTGTTTGGACAATGTGTTCGGCGGGGCGCCGCCTGAGACATTTTATCATTGATAAGGAATCAACATCAGGGCAACCTAGCTCTCTAGCCACGACGAAAGACTTTTCTCTGACGTTTTCGGCGACACCCCACGGGCTCAGAGAAGAACCGCTGACACAAATCGCTGCTTTGAACAGACCTGCGGGCATTTGTATATGTTTAAACTAAATGTTAGAGAGTTATAGTCCGTGGTACAGACCCATTTTGGTCACATTATTAACATTCGTCTAAAACTTCGAGAATGACATCATCATATTGTAAACTATTGGGTTGGAAAATAAGTCCTTTCGGTTTTTACGTCACCATGATACACTTCTTATCTGATAAATTAATCCCTAACTTAGATTGTTTATCCTGTTTGTAATATATCAATAACAATATTTATTGTTAACTCTTGTTGAAATTAGCTTAGTATTGTGTTTGCTATTGCACTGTGAATATGGAAGAAAATGTCATTCATTATCGGCATATTTTGTTGTATTATTTTTAAAATGGTAAGCGTGCTGCAGAAGCTCATAGAAAAATGTTAAGTGTTTATGGGGATGATGCCTTAATCGAACGCACCTGTCAAAATTGGTTTGCCAAATTTCAATCAGGAAATTTTGACATCAATGATGTTCAACGGTCTGGTCGCCCAAATGAAATTGAAACGAGCAATGTTAAGGCCTTTGTTGATCAAAAAACCACCCAATCAGTGCGAGAGATTGCTATGGCCTTAAATGTGTAGCACACAAACATAGAAAACCATTTGCACAAGCTCGGCTATATTTCCAGGCCTAATGTTTCACACATTTTCGAAAATCACAAAAAAATTTATAGGTTCAATACGACTTATACGGCCAATTATCGTATATTAAAATAAATGTTATGTGTATAATACATCGAGTTTTATTTTCCCCTGAAAAACCGAAAGGACTTATTTACCAACCCAATATATTTTTTTCACGAGAATTCTCTGAAATGGGGCGTTTCAATATGAAGATCGATTCACTTGGTCTATTTAATGAGGTAATTAAAACTCATCAACACCTGTTTGCTTCTTACTTAAATCGAAAGATAATTAGAACGTGAAATCTAAGAAAATGGTGGCCTATAAAAGTTTGGACAGTTTAGCATGACATCAACCCTCAACATATCAAAATAACGAGAATATGCAGACCAAACGGTCCAATATGTTGTAGGCTATTGCGGAAAGCAAATGAGAATTCATAGATTTTATCATAGATTTTATCATAGATCGCCTCAAATTAATTATTTTATGAGATAACGTCCAATGTCTCAGAATTTCCGTAAATAAAAAATTTGTAACTTATAATTTGTGGTACATACCTCTTTTTATCACATTATTAACATTCGGCTGAAACTTCATAAATACCTTCATCTAATCGTAATCTACAAACATTTTATCTACGAAAATTCTCAGGATTGGGGCGTTTTAATTTGGAGGTTGGCATACTTTGTATATTAATGAGGTAATAAAAACTCGTAAATACCCATTTTCTTTCCAATTTAATCGTAAGATAACTTGAGGACAAAGTCGAGAAAAAAGATGGCGTTCAAAAATATTGAGCCGTTTGCGAGACCTACGAAGTTTCAGGCGGATGTTAATAATTCGATAAAAAGGAGTCTGTACCACAGTCTATAAACTAAAATGTGAATGAAAGCAGATTGTGTACACAGCGGTAAATCAAAATGTAACAGATTCATTTGCAATAGAGATTGTAATTAAGACATCGGTTTCACATCATTGTTGCAAACGTCCGTATAACTTGAAGATAACTTAATTAAATAAGCTTTAGATAATAAATGTAGAAGATAAATTAAGATGAAATAATTTCATATAATCCTCCAAAAAGATAGGCTTACCCTTGCTGAGTGGAGACAAGACATGATAATGAACACTGCCAGATCCAGCCGAGAATCCAGTCAATGTTACGCTGTTGGGGTCCCCACCGAAGGCTGCGATGTTTTGCTGGATCCACTTCAAAGCGAGTACCTGATCCTTCAGCCCGTTGTTACCGGGAACAGCCACGTCACCAGTGCTCAAGAAACCTAATTAGCAAAGAATAGCATACTTAGTTTACTTAGCATACCACTCTTGTTTCACTACTCTCATGACAGTAATGTTTAATTCATAACCTCAACATCATTGGCAAGCAATCAGTCCTTAAGGCAGTGACAAATTTCTTATTTAATGAACTCATTGGTTACAGACACGTTGATATATTTAACAACCTTCGAGAGTTTTGGATGAGAGGTGCAACTTTTGTGATACTACTTGGTATGCTCAATTTTCATAAAAATTTATTTAAGAAAAAAAATTACTTTGGTTAAAAAAACAAATTAGTACAAAAAATGAGTAGATTAAGAATTATGAATCCCTCTGTAATGCCAAATCGAGAGAATATTCAGTAGATTAAAAATCAACTTGACTGAGGATAAGACACACAACTATGAAACACTAACAACTATGAAACACTAGAACCTTATCATGAAGGGGCACCACCTATGTGTGAGGTAAATATTTCCTGCTGAGTAATTTTGATGACGTTGCACATTCAGTCTGTTCAACGGGATTCAATGAATGGGAAGGTGTCCTTGACTAGCGCACTGCGTGGCGTTAGTATGAAAAATTTAGCTATGGAGATACGACGTTGGAAAGAAAGAAGGACTTCGGACCAGGCGATCACAGAAGGGTGTTTCGTGACGTAAGATGTGCCATCGAAATTTTTGAGGGGAACACATTTAGACAGGGTATTACATTTCTGAGGGGAGCACATTTTGGCCGGGTCGTGAATTTTTGGACTGGAAAGTTCCAAACTAAGGACAAGAAAAGGACAGGAAACAGATCGCAGTAAGTGTAATAGGATATTGCACCATCGACCTTGTGGGGGGGGGAGATGGGTTCCCCTGCTCCAGGCGACCATTAGTGGATATTGATGAGGTTCTGCATGAAGCTGTTGAGTCAACTCCGTCCACAAGTACTCGCGTTCTTGCCAGACATTGTGGTGTATTGAAAGATACTGTTAGTTGTCATTTATTCCATGGAGAAGGAAAAAAATAGCAGTATACTGGTCTCTAACTAACTTACTCCTCCGCAATCAGCTAAGAGGTTAGAAATTTGTCAAAATTTATTGAAAAACCCTTCTGATATAAACTCCTGCCTCATCCACCATATAGACCTCGCATCATCGGATTACTACTTATTTAGTTCCATGGCCATTTTCTTCAAGGATAAAAATTTGATAATTTTTCTGAAGTTGAAATTGCGGTCCAAGAGTTCTTTGACAGCCATCCCAAAGAATGGTATCATCGTGGAATCGAGTAATTGGCTATCAGATGGCTAATGACTATAGATAACAATGGACTATACTTTGAGTATTAATTGTATTTTATATCAATGAAATAATGATACAAATATTTGGTTGAAAAACGGTTGTTTTTTTTTATATTCCCTATTATATAATCAAACAAAAATAAATTTCTTCTATAAATATATAAACGTTGTCAAGAAAAGTCAACAAATAATCCAATTTAACAATAGCATTATTTTTCCACAATATATAAATAAAGTTATCATAATTTGGTGTTGACAGAGCTCATACTTTCATAGAAAAATATATTATGGTAAATTTATTTTCTAACTGACGTATCTATCGTTGACGATCACGTATACTCACATTAGTAACTTTATAATAAAATTCGTATAAAAACTTCTAAGGAGTCGAAAAACACGCTTTTCTCTCATTTAATTTTTCGGAAAAATGTATTCACAAATAAGACTGAAATTTTAAGATTTAAAGTAAAATGAAGACTGACCTAAAGGTCCAAGGCGATAATTGAAGGAGACGAAGACAATGTCCCTGTCCATGATGTAATCGACTCCTCCGTCCAAAGAGCTACCGACCATGAACGCTCCTCCGTGAATGTGAGCAATGACATGCAAAGGCTTCTGTTCAGCTGCTCCAGTGTTCAACTGTTAAAAAAATATTGTTATGTAAAAATTGAACGATTTCAATATTTTTTTTCAATAACTAATGATGATGAATTATGGCGAATCTATGACTTGTAAATTGTCCCTTGTATTGAAGCAATTGAACCATGTGGAATGTCCTACATTCACGAGGTAATTATTCTCGCGCGCTGTTTGCAATTTTCAAACAAAGAGATACAAAACTTTCTTCTCAAAAATGCCTATCCAGGTTGAAAATGAATCTCTCTAGAAATAACAGTCAGAAGGTATACGTATAATATATCGTTTGAAAGCGCATAATTTTAGAAAAAATTATATCAAATAGATGAAGTTGTAGAAGGTAATAGAGAGTGACGAAAAAAAATATAAATAATAATTTCAGAAAACTAACATTATTTAACATGAATTACACGTTTCCAAGGAAATAAAATGTAATTTTCTTACTAAATGTAAAGTTTTAACACTTTTTTCAAGTTTCAGAAAAGTATTTAAAATCCACTTAAACAAGGCAATGTTATTGTTGAACAAACTATTTCATTGAACTTGTAGGTATCTATTTGCCGTTTATTCCCAAAATATCATAAAGTAACCTTTTAGACAATTAAATTAGTAAATAATTTGATAAATTTTTCCCTAATTAAAAAATTTACAATGGAGTCCTGATGAAGGTCTGATAAAAGACGGAAACCGGTTGCGCAACAGAGAAAAATAAATGGAATATACAGGAAGGTAACGTCTTTTTTTGTAACATTGAATTTCAATCCTGTAATATCAAGCCACAATTAAAGAATGGAAAATAACAGTTTAATAACTAACAGTCCTACCCTCCATAATCATTTATAGGTTAAATATTCAGATATACTTTTAAACATCTCTAGGCATATATGAGCCTGTCGAGGTATATAAAGCTGAGGCAGTATATGCAAGTTATCAGAAGGCCTCGACAGTGCGTGTTCATTATTGAGGGTAAGATGACTGATTGGATGAAGTAAGGTGATTAGATGGATGACCTCGAGGACAGGCGGATCAGCACCCAATCACTCGGCCTGCAGTGTGAGAGATTAAGCTTAACACTCCGCAAGGATGGTAACCACAATCAGAGGGATCGAACTCCGGGCTTGTGGGAGGATGAGATACTGACGGAAGGATCAATTTCCAGACTTAGTTTATAGAATCATAAGTGGATGGATCAGCGTCCAACTTGCATGGAGATAGAGATGAAGAAAAAGGTAAAGTATTTTGTGATATAAGAAGAGCAGAGTTAGTTTAACTAAAAGCGAATATGATACCTATACCTACCGTCTTCATAAAGGTCTACACCCTAAAGGGGTGGGGATCCGTAGACCTGACAATTCGAGATTTGACTGGGGTATTCATTCCGCCATGACTTAACCGGCTACCAAGCGCCGTTACAATAACAGTTATTTTTGAGCTTTGATCAGTATATGTTATCGCCATTAAATTTTATTAATAAAAAGTATTTACAATGAATATGCATATTTCAATTTACAATTTAAGTATTTTATAATACAACAATAAGAAATAAAAGATACAATTTTTGGTATGTTGCACGGGCGAGCTTGTAGAGCTCTGCCTGGTAGCTGGAAGGAGAACTTGATGTACCATGTGGCAAGAGTGGGAACTATGCCGAAACTGTTGCCGCTAAAAGCCTTTCGGTTGACAGAATGACTAACTCCAATTTCAACATTCTTTATTATTAGTTTTAGTGATGTTTCTAGTGGCAAAATTTATACCTTTATTCACCGTTATATATTTCAACACTGTAATCACCTACTCTGGAATCAATTCACTATAAAACAACGTTACTCAAAAATTATGAAATTGGAGTTAGTCATTCTGTCAACAGTGGCTTATAAAAGCAGATGTAGTAACTAGGGTTTTATAGCCTACCGTCGATATAATAAATAGACTTCTTGTAATTGTAATGGTCTTAACGATTTAATATTTTTAAGCTCTAAGCTTTAGCTCCGTTTAAAGTGCACTTCAAACATTTTATAATAGCCCAAAATTGTCAGAAAATATTTTCTATTCAAAGTAGAGAGGTAAGTGAATGTTGTGCGTTGTGCGCACCAGATTTTTTTCTTTATAATAAATATGAAAAATAATAAAATAATAATAACGTTCACAGAATCACATAGGAACCACTCAAGAAGTTGGAATGAAGACGTGAATTGATTCTAGTTAGTTTTAAATTTGAATGATAAGTTATGAAAATACGAACCCTTGGAGTGAATACGTTTACGTAAAGACAGTCTTCTGACCCTTCTAACTTGGATGGCGCTCTGACGTCGAAGATGTATAACTGAAGACATTTTGGTGGTTCTTTAGTAGCGTTGTAAATCCCTAACCATGGTTCTGCAGCCACTGGTTCCTGAAAAGTAATTAATAGTTCAATTATAATAATAATAATAAAAGGCTTAACGAACCCGAAGGTTCGATGCCGACACCACCAATTGCTTATTACACACGTCCCTCCACCGTTCGCCGTCCAAACCCAGTCCCTTCAGATCGGCTTTAATGCAATCTTCCCACCTTCGCTTCGGTCTACCCCTCGGACGCTTAACATTCGGCACAGCAAATATTAACCTTTTAGGAATTCTCTGGTTACTAATCCCGACAACTTTACAAGCCCATTTGATTCGCCGCGAAATAGGTAAATTATTTTCTAAAAATATACTGAATAAACATTCATAATAAAAATCAATATTAATATATAGTGTGCTGGAATATGACCCACCATTCGCAAAGTATATCGATCAGTGATCAAATGACAAGTTAATAATAAAATTAAATAATCCAACGTATCATAAGATGGAGAAACAATCCTTATTTTCTCGAAAATCATAATCGACGAAGGAAATGAGAATTAATTTAAAAGTTCATTTATGTTTTGAACCAACATGTTTACAAATTTCAATAAGCTGTATCTTTGCTAATAATAGTTCGATTTAGATATATTTTTTTTCCTTTTGTAGGGAATTTAGTTATCTTTTAAATAATTATCATACTAGACTGAAACGACAAGAAACCGCTCGACGTTTCCGATTACTTCAGCACTTACTAGACAAACGCTCTAAACTTCCAATTAATTACAAAAGACTCATATACATGACTATAATAAGGCCTATTTGGACTTACGGAGTTGAGCTATGGGGCTCCACTAAACCATCGAATTCCTCTCATATCCAATCCTTAAATCCAAAATCCTTCGTAAAATCCTCAATGCTCCCTACTTTGTTACAAATAAAACCATCCATAATGACCTTAATGTTTCAGCTCTGGCCGAATCCAGATATCTATCCTTCCATAATAAACTTCAGAATCATCCCAACCCTCTCGTTTCTAACCTTGCTTCCTCTTCAATTCCTGATAAGCCTCCGAGGCGTCTGAAAAGAAGATGTCCCCGTGATCTCCTAATGTATACATATTAGAGTGCTACCATTGGGTTGTTACATTATGTGGGAAACCAGAAGAAGTGTAATTTTTCAGTTATTCACAAATACAGTTTATTTTCATTCATAATTTTTGACTAAAGTTTCGGGGTGATAGGATTACTTCCTCGTATAAAGGAGAAGGAAGCCTTCAAAGTGGGTGACTCAATCTTGGAATTTGATGAAGAATTAATGGTGATATGGCTTACCGGAAAAAGAAAAGTCGATCATAGGGACCTCAAGTCGACGAAATGAGACATGTATCTCATTAATGTGAAGTTGTATGGCTGGCACGGGCGGATCTACGGGGGGAGGAGGGCTTTCGTGCTGAAGCTCCCCCTCCATATGCTAAAATATAACCTATGATATAATATGTTTTTCGAAAAAAATATTTAAAAAGTATCTCTTAAAGTATTATTGTTCGTGTAATTACATTTAAAAGGGCTTTAGAAATCACTTAAACACCATTTCATATAGGTAGTTAGCTTCTTTCTTTTTTTCCAAAGTAATTATCGTTATTTTTATGAAAAAAAAAATTTCGGGCTGAAGCCCCCCCAAAATTAAATCCTGGATCCCTAGTGATGGCTGGGAACCCATGGACCTTTCACTATCTCGAAAATGGTACATTTTTGGGCTTGGAAATGTCCAGGATCGGATATTTCAGTAAATTCACATTTTCGTCCATTCGGTTTTTGTTTTCAAACTATTAAGACATAGTTTTGTCCTTTGGATCGCCGAATTAGTTTGAACTTTTCATTATTAATTTTATATTTACAGAGAGGGAGAAAAGTCTCGGACATGAGTCTGTTTAAGAACGGGCAAAGATGTGTAAATATATTTTTTTCAATTATTTATAGAGAAATATTACATCACAACTAAGGACAATAGTAATAGTGATAGAAGAGTAGGTCATTCACACTTTGTACAATAAATAAAAATAATAATGCTAACATTAAATGTATATAAACTAAAAGAAACTAATCAAAATAACTACTTAAATACACGCATGCTATTATATAATATTTATAATATTCACTCGAGATCTCAGAGCCAAGCGTTTTTCCGCACTCGTGGAAGGAAAGGCAGGACGCTAGGAGATCCCAGCGACTCTCACTCAGCCGCAGAGGTGCTATATATAATCAGACATACATGGCTTGAGTGGAGAATCTGGATATTGCCAGAACTCCAAGTATACAGGGTGTTTCAGGATTAAGTGTTCAAACTAAAAAAATGCACTAAGGACCTTAAACAAAAACAAAAATTTCCTCTGAAGGTATGTCCGCTTTGTTTAGAAGATATTCACACTTAAAGATTTTCATTGTTATGAATTATTTACGTTATATGAAATAAATAAAACCTATTTATTTAATTTCAAATACTTTATTAATTAAACGTAAACATTAAATTCATATTAAATGTTGTTCAAAGTAATTCGGGCTGTTGTTGACAATGTGAAGGGGTTCAAATACCATCAGCACGTGGTATTATAGCAAATGTACCAGTTTCTTTAAGACGTTGAAACGTGATGCTAAAGATAGACTTGTTTGGTAATCTTCTACTCGGAATTCGCCTGGTATATTCACGAGGGACAGCATTACCATAGCACAAACCGTATACAAACACCATATCAGCATATTCACCATTAGTATAAATGAAAGGCACAGTGATGAGTACTCTGCGAAAGCCTCTTACAAACTGACAAATGTTATTGAGAGTTCCCAATGCTAATTTAAAATAGTATTAATCCTTATGTTGTCAATATTTTTTATACAGTTAGGGATAAAAGGCCATATTAGTATTCTATCTAATCCATCTCCTAAACAAAGCGTTTGGGGAATATCTTCACTTTGAACAAGATTTAATATGAATGATATTGTTTACATTTAATTATTAAAGTAGTTAGAACAAATAAATATGTTTTATTTATTTCATATAACGTAAATAATTCGTAACAACGAAAATATACAGGTGTGAATATCTCCTAAACAAAGCGTTTGCGGACTTATCTTCAGAGTATATATTTTTCTTTTTTTGAGGTCCTTATTGATTTTTGCTGTTGGCCACTTAATCCTGAAACATCCTGTATAATATTGAAAATAAATTTGGAATTTAAGTCACTTGCCTTAAACCTGTTCTTGCCGACCGGAGGCTTCGCGTAGGGTATCCCGTAGAACGCTGCGTAAGGACGTCCTCCGAGGCTGTCGGCCCACAAACCCTTCAGAGTACCTTGCTGCAGAACCACTTCGGGCTGGATGGCCAGTACCGTGGTTTGGTACAATACCAAGGTGCACAGCGCGAAGCTCAGCATCGTTACTGAATGAAATGAAACTCTAAACCTAAGTGATACTAATATGAAAGGGGCATCGACTTTATAAATAGATTTATCTTAATATAAACACTCGAAAGCATATTTACATAAGGGGAGAACTTCTAATCGCCGTTATCTTATAAAAACTTTCAACAAATTTCAATAAAAAAATGCCTCAATCTTGCATCATGCAAATCGTTCTATCGTTAAACTTTTCACTAAAACCTGCAATTTCATTACTGATGTTCCTCACCACACTGAATATAACCTTGTTATCTTATCATTAATTACTGAGAACTAATGAGTGAGTAAACAAAAAAAAATAAAAGGCTGATGAAACTAATAAAACTATGAAATATGTTTAAGCGATCCGCTATTTTCCAAAACCGCTTGACCGTACAATATTTTTTATTCAAGGTTACATCCTGATTTTCTATATTTGAATCGAATAGTAAGTTAGAATATTACGAACGTGAAAATAAGCCTTATTAAAACAAAGGGGTCTTTAACGTCTGACAGGTATTGTCTTCATTAAAAAAAAACTTAAAAGTGCTTAAATGCCAAATTTTAAAATCTCTTCCTCTGAAGTACCTTTAATTTGGATTATTTAAAAAAAGTGAAGCAATTAATTACATCTAGTTTTTGAAAAACATGCTTAAATATAAATTATGAACGAATTTGATATTTAACTAAAGGGGCCATTACATGGTCAATATTGTTGAGTCAATATCAAATATATTGACATTCACCACCTTCAATAATGTCTATTCAGTATTATTGATTCAATAATATTGAACGTGTAAGGTGGGCTTTGAGAAGGAAGAATTAGCCGCAGATACAGGCTGGGAATTCAGACATTTTTTAAATTTCTCTGGTCACTAAGCATTTTTAATATTCTTATAATTCCTTTAATCTATATTTACTATAATATTTTGTACCCGCCATAATTTTCGTACAGTAAGTCCATGAAATGTTGAAATAGGTAGGGTGGTGAGTGAAAGTTTTGTGGTATATGCAACACACCAATTTCTCGTGTCTATGTCGATTTTCCCAGCAGACATTTTTAATTTTTTACTTTCACTTACCAAAATATGTAATATATAGTATGGGAAAGTATTGCAATCGTGAAAATTTTCGAATCTGAGTTTTCAACGGAAATACACGTTTTGAGTTACCATAAGTCCAAATAACCAACAAAACCGAAAAGTCGTACGGAACTGATATTACGTATTTAAGATAGGCATAGGCCTTAGATGTCATGGCAACTTTTCCCTTGAAATCGGGATACCGGAAGTGCCACTTTATATCAACGGTGAAAAACATTTTTACTGATTTCTCAAAAACGGCTCTAAGGATTTTGATTAAACTCCGTGTATCTTTCTATAAATAAGAGCCAATTGCACCAACTCAGTCAAGCTTGGATTGAGCGTTATCTAAGATTAAACCAAGTTTTGTAAGGTCGACCGATCAAGATTAAACTGAATCTTAGATAATGCTTAAACTAAGCTTTACTGAGTTAGAGCAACTAGCCCTAAGAAAAAAAAATTGAGATCCGTTTCAATGTTTTAAAGTAGAGCCTCGATACCTCGGGCCAGGGACAAACCGACAGCCTCAGCACCGTCCACCAGCACTTATATTCAGCTACTCTTTTAAGCGTCAGAGTAGCATTGAAAAGGTTACCATTTTTAACTAAAAAACATGATCGAAACGCCAAATAAACAGCAGGATATATAAAATAAAGATTTTCTCTGCACATTACATAGAATCAACCCGTTTTATGATATTTTTCAGTTTCATATATTGCAGACACCAAATCCACTTAAAAAAAAATTTTCTGTCAGGATGTCCACATTGTACAACGAAATTTTGTCAGAAGTAAGCTCGGGAATGGCTTATTGTACACTTTTGAAATGTTGACATTATATTAAAGTTTGCTTGACTTAAAACATAGGCTGTAAACGAAAACAAAACATTGAGTATAACCAAAGTTATGAATTCTTTAGTAATTCGTATAGAAATCTTGGTTAATTTTGATAATAAATGTTAATAATAAACATATGTTTATAGGTTAAAGAATATCTAGATAAATGAAATAAAGGTTTTGTCTGTACATTGAATAGAATCTACCCGTTTCATACATTACAGAGACCAAATCCACTTTTTAAAAATTTTTTGTTTGTCTAAATGTACGCATTGTACAACGAAATTTTATCAGTGCTAAGCTCGGCAATGCCTAATGGTAGAATTTTGAAATTTTGAAATTATATTTAGGTTTGCTTGAGTTAAAATATAGGCTTTAAATGAAAACAAAATATTGAGTAGAACCAAAGTTATGAATTCTTGAGTAATTTGTCTAGAGCTCCCGGTTAGGCAGTTACTTCGATTCTAATCCCAACCTACTCTACCGCCAGCCACATTTAAAAGTTGTACTTCTCAACTGATGAAAAAACTATCTCAACTCAACAGGAAAAAATCCGGAATACCCAACATCAAGCTCTAATTTTACATGGATGTAGGTGACTCAATGTCAAATGTTATTTTGCCAGCGATAAACTCAGCAGAGTTTAAAGAAGTGGAGAGACTATAATTCTTTTTGATTAATTAATCGACTCCTCAATCTCCTCGTTTCATCATACATAAAAATTAAACACAACAAGTTTTAATAGTTCGGTGGTGGTCGGTTTAGTTGTGTGGTGCCTAAGCAGCAGAATAAAAATGTTTTTGTTATGACTATTGCGAAACCTCGACTTCCATAAGTCCCGCCATAAAGAAATTCAAAACAACCGCCCTTCTCGCTCCCGACCCAATTTAATGAAATTGAATTTGGACTCTCCCCCCCCTTAACTATACACCCGTCAACGACAGGTACATCAGCTAGTGTTAAAATATAATACTCAAAGGTCGATTGAAGAAATTTTGTATAAATATATATATATATATATATATATATATATATATATATATATATATATATATATATATATATATAAATTAAGACATGACAAATGAAAACTAGATCATAAACTTATAAGAAATAGATATTGACAACCACGTTGAAAAAGCCTTTAGGTGCAAAACATGGAACATTGAGGGGATACAACTTAAAACTATAGCTTCTAAAATGATTGTTTTTTTAAGGCTTTTGCAATATGCTTATTGATACTGTTGGAGACCAATGCCGCATGTGTAGGAGAAGGGGGGGGTTATTAACAATAACCATCACCAATATTGTAAATCTACCTGGCAACACTGTTTTTGTTTTGTAACCTTCTTAGTAGTTTTTTCTTCTGTTGATTAATGCCAGTATGTGTTGTGTTATAATTGATTCAGAAGTAAATTTTCGTTTTGTTCACATTGTGTTTCTTTTTCATCATCACCGAATTCCCAGAACTCTAACAGGTTATGGGCCCAGTTAATGCAAACTAAAAGGTTTTTAACTAACTTTAGTGTAAAAAAGTGAACTTGTTAAGGAAGTTTGTTTTACTTACCTTTTTTTTTTTCTCTCCAAGTAATCAAGTAAGCAAAGACGTTTCTTTTAATTTATTTACAATGTCTACCACGAGTACAGGTGTTCCTTTGGGTTTTGAAAAATTAGAAGGTAAAATAATGAAAAGTTGGGCCACAAGGCCATGGCAGCTATAGTTTCTGGTGTCAAATCGCACATTTGTGCTGATATTCGTGAGTTGAAAACTATCAACCTAAAGGATTTTCGTGTGTAGCCTCTATTGAGCAATTGGTAAATATACGATACACAGATTGAAAGGATATGGCGGAGTACGTAAATAAGAAGGTGAAGTTGGTTCAACAGCTAAAATCAATCGACCATGAAATCAAGGATGGTGTCCTGGCTGCATTGATTTTTGTAAGTTTACCAGATCATTTCAAACCTCTTATTATGGCCCTCGAAAATTGTGGGGCCACTCTCACATCTGATTTAGTTAAGGAGAGGCTTTTGGCAGAAGCCAGTAAGTACGAATCTCCGAGTGAATCTGCCTTGTTCTCAAAGCCTAGCAGGGAAAGATTGGCTCACATCAAATGTTATAATTGTAGCCAGTTTGGACACTATGCCAATAAGTGTCCTAAATCTTGGAGAAGGAACCAGAATACGGATAGGAGTAGGGAGCCCTACATCGACCAGGGTCTTGTTCTGGAATTCCAACGAGTGGTACATTGATTCGGGAGCAACGATCCACATAAGAGGGAGGAAGGATTGGTTGACCAATTGTAAGACGGGTGCCAGGAAAATAATAAATGATTACTGATCTTTTACGAGATCTACTGACTGATCTACACTAATTTAATTACATTAAATAACAATAAATATAATAGAAATATGGTAACTATTAACACAACCAACAAATAATTTAACTCCCAACCAGACATCAGTCTCCAGAAGGTATCCTATTCCTTGGCGTCCTAGCCTCCACTGAAAAGAAACATCTATATCATTTCACTATGTAAATCGATTCATTAGGTCGATAGGAATTCGATATTGATAATGACCCCTCATTACTGAACTACATAAGGTAGTTCAGTTTGCCTGTGAAAGGTATCAGTAGATGTGTTATCTGCTCGTGGGGATTTTTCCTAACAAAGGTGTATTCTTCTATAGCCTTGTTTATCACAGAGTACAGTGCTAACATGGGAGACATCCACTCGTGCTAACTCTCACCATTTTCCGAACCTTCCTACTGTTTTCTCAGCTCAGTGTTGCCACCGGTCATAGTTCGCAGTCCAATCCTCCAATATAGCCCTCCCCCTCCCCTCTCACCAATATTAGAGAACCAAATATAAAATCTACGATTACTACGGCTTCGGGTGAAAAATTACCTATTACTGTAGGAGGGAATACACAGATTTTACTCGAAGTTAGCGGCAAAGCTAAGATGACTCCCATCAGAAATGTGAGCTATGTTCCCGGTCTTAGATATAGCCTGATTTCATGTGTCGAACTTGGTCGAAAAGGTCTGCGGACAACGCTTGAGAATGAGGAGAGGTGCGAGATAATTAACCGAGAAACTGGTGACGTCATCGCTGTAGCAGAATCTTCTGAAAATGGCCTGTTCAAGCTTCGCTGTGCCGAGAACTCAAAGATATCCAACGTTACTGCTTCAACTGATGGGGCTTTTCTGTTATGGCCCAAGCGACTCGGCCATTTGAGTTCAGGTGGAATGGCACGCCTTTTAGATCTTGCGACCTGATTGCAATTTCCAGCCGTGTCCTGCAACAAAATTTGCAGAGATTGTGTTTTTGGCAAGCATGCCCCAAAACTATTTCCTTCAGGTAAAGCACATCGGGCAAATGAAGTCTTGGAGTTAATCCATACTGATCTTTGTGGGCCTATGAAAGTGAATTCCTTGAGTGGAAAACGCTACTTCATCACCTTCACGGATGATAAAACTAGGAAAACTTCCATTTATTTCTTAAAACACAAAGATGAAGCATTGGTAAAATTTAAGAACAGTGTAGAGGACGAGAGAAACAAGAAAATTCGTATTTTGAGGTCTCACAATGGAAATGAATTTGTCAACAAAGCTTTCGAAGAATTTTGTAATGAAAATGGTATTAAGCACCAGAGATCGATTGACTATTGCCCACAGCAAAATGGTGTCTCAGACAGAGTGAACCGGACGTTAGTAGAGAAGGCGAGATCAATGATGCTTGGGGCGAAGTTGCCCGCCAAGTACTGGGCGGAGGCTGTGAATACCGCCTGTTACTTAAAAAATATAAGTTCCACAATCGCAGTTAACAACAGGACACCTTTTGAAGCTTGGTAAATTACTAAGCCTGATTTGAGACATTTGAGGGTATTTGGATGCACCGCTTATGCTTATGTCCCTAACTGCAAGCGTAGTAAGTGGGGCCCAAAACCCAAGGAATATGTGTTCACTGGGTATTGTGAAAATTCTAAAGGATATAGACTAATCGAACCTTCTACTGGATGTGTCACCAAATCCAGGGACGTGTTTTTTGACAAAATTTTTTTCAAAGGGGGCACCAAAGAAAACTCAGATGAACCTAACATGGCTGATTTTTATGGAAATCATGAGCTTTCCCAACTTCCGCCACGATTGCAGATTTTAGAATCGGACGGTCGGCTATAAGATAAAGAAGATCTATCTGAAAACAATTTTAAAGAAGATTTATTATCATCGGGTAGTACATCTTCTGCAGCAGATCTTCCAAAACGTGAACTTCCTCAGAGAATGCTGAAATTATCCCAGGGTTTTGAACATTTCACAATGAGTGTTACAATGTCCATTGATTCTTTAGATGATCCAAAAACTTTGGACGATGCTCTTTCCCAACCAGATTCTGAAAACTGGAAGATGGCCGTCAAAGAAGAGTATGATTCACTTCTCACAAATAATTCTTAGGAACTGGCTAATCGCCTTAAGGAACACAACGTCATCAAGTGCAAATGGGTATTCCGAAAGAAATATATAGAAACAACTCTTCATAAGTTTGACATGTCTGATTGTAAACTACAAGGAACTCCAATGGAATATGGCCTGAAGATTATGAAGAATGACGATTCTGAGGAGCTGATGTACCTTATCAAACTGCTGTTGGTTCACCGATGTATGCTGCCAACTGCACAAGACCAGATCTATCTTTTGCAGTGGGGGCACTTAGTAGATTCAACTCAAACCCGAAAATGACACACTGGTCGTACCTAAAGAGAATTTTTCGGTTTCAAGTAATCCACCGAATTTATGTTGGCTGATGTCCTCAAAAAAGCCTTAACCAGAGGGAAACATCAGTGGTGCAGAACAAAGATGGGACTGGTGTTCAATCCCATGCGCCAAGTGGGGGTGTTGGAGACCAATGCCGCATGTGTAGGAGAAGGGGAGAGTTATTAACAATAACTATCACCACTATTGTAAATCTACCTGGCAACACTGTTTTTTTGTTTGTAACCTTCTTAATAACTCTTTTATCTGTTAATTAATGCCAGTATGTGTAGTGTTATAATTGATTTAGTTAGAAGTAAATTTTTGTTTTGTTTACATCATCACCAAATTCCCAGAACTCTAACAGTTCTTAACTTAATCATGGCAACTTCTTCCCTGCAATTAGAACAGTTTGATGTGGTCCAGGAATTTACTGATTTTTTGATAACTTCCAACTTGCTTGGTTGAGTCTCATTCTACATGAACTTCCAGCTGTCTGATATTTCCTTTTTGAGAGTAAGACTCATTTCTAGAGGTGATATAGCATATTAGTAATAGTCAATTAGTATTAGGTAAACATGCTATATACAAAACAAATAAAACCATACACAAAACAATCAAACTATTACAAGACCCTAAAAACTATTTACAGTGATAAAACAATATAAATATGATCTTTTGAGAAAAAAATAACTAAAAAATAAAAATACATTAGATTCTTCTTTAAAATAAGTTTCTACTGAAAAAAAAGAAAGCTGAATCAGATAATATAAAGTGCCTGAGTAGTTAAACGCTGAATAATATATAAATACATCATCATCATCTCTTAAGTCAACGATAGGTAAAATTTAATGGTGTATAAAAAATAATTGTTAAAAACAAACAATATATGCGTTCAGCGGCACCAAGAGTAGGAAAATGTAGTTCTATTCCTAGCAAAGAACAGCATTAATATTTGATAATGAATAACTTGAAATCAATTTATAATGTCGAATGGTTAGCAACTATTTGACTGTTTTTGGGATAGGAATTGAAATAGGAGGGTTATGAATGTGGATATGCATGGAATGCTGAATTTTGATAGGGAGAAATTGACAGAGCGAGCAATAAAGGAGCTTTGGAATGAGGCAGATCTGTGAGAAGGCATGTAAAGGTCAGAAGGTCGAGGTCTTGTGGAAAGGGAATGTACTGAGCACTTGAATTGGAGAAAGTTGTAGGCATAAGAAGGATGATGATGTTGATGATTTGATAGAGGAATGTGCCCAGGAAATATTGTCTTCGGAAGGAGGGAAAGAGCCACCTTAACTCAATGTAGTAGTGAGAGACATGGAAGTATCTCATTATAATATGTAGGTTTAAGGTATAGTCTAATAACATCTAGATAGAATAAACTTAACATTAATAAATATGAAAAAAGGCAAATATATGATGTATAAATGATATTACTACAAAGTAAAAGTATTTTGGCTAAAAAAATAATAAAACAGAAAATATTTTGGCACAAAGAAAACACTGAAGTCTGTAATAGAATTAATATCCCAATAGAATACACTAGTGATAAAATAATTCCCGATATTTTAACTAAATTAGAAAATAATTTTAAAGCGGATATGAGGGAAAAAGCTAGTGTCTAGATATCATGACCTTTATAAGGATTTAAACAGCATCTTAGGTGAAAGGCATTATCAGATGTAAATAAAATGCATTTTATTAAAGGTATATTTAAATTGCGTGGACAATTAGTGTTATGAGGAGTGAGCAACATAGATTGTGTAGCCTTTGTAATTTAAATGAAATAGAAGATGTATACCATATTTACAGGAATATAGAATCAAATATTTTAAGAAAAAAGTCATAAACCGCAAGACATACTCAATGGCAAAGGTTGGAGGCGTTTATTTTTGTATCATATATATGCTTATAAATATAGGATGGTTTTAATTAAGCAATACAACACATAACATTCTTTAGTTATATGTAAACAAAAGTAAGTATAATATTAAGGTTATACAACAAAAATTATTTATTTTTTGACAAGTTTATTTAGATTAAATTTATGTTTTTAAATACAGGTAGTTTTAAATAACAAGAATCTGTTTAATGTTTCCAAAGTTAATTGTTTTTATTTATTTTATTATTATTAATTCTTTTCATTGTATGTATTTTTAGGGCAACTCCAGGCAGACGGTTCTATACCATTGTCAATAAAAAAAAAAATAAAAAGGAATATGTAACATGCATATGAAATAAAGCTTTCTTTCTATCTATTTATCTACAAAGTAAAAATTAAAATTAAATTCATTTTTCTTCTTGATCCATAAATTAAAAAAAAAAAAAGAAAAATGTTTTAATTTAAGCAAAGCTCTGATCTAATTTTACTCTAAGGAGTGAAAATATGAGGATTTGGTATTAACAAGAGGCAACACTGCTTTAGAGTCCTGTTATTGTAAATATTATTTCCTCTGGACAAAGGTAAATAATTTTGAATACCAAATATTAAAATGAAATATATAAAAATATTTATTTTTTTCTTATATTTATTGATCACATTATTCAAGAGTCCTATTTACATGTATGAATTTCATCATATTTAGGTTTTTAATTAAGTAAATAAAATTAAATAAACATTTATTTATATACATGATTTACAGTTCATTTTTAGTCGGTACCACTGACTCTATGTTTTCTTTTAACTTCAAAGAATCCCAAAAGTTTTCTTCTCCCAGCTCATCGACCATTGTTGGTACAAGTTGGTTTGGACCCTGGAAGTCTGTAAAGGTGATCTTAGGGAGATTCTGGTTGAAAGTCGGAACATCTAGTGTGCTGTAAATAAATTTGATAAAATAAGTTTTATTTTTTTTAATAGCCTATATCATTTTTAAAAATATATTCGAATCACTTATTTTCAAGTGATTATTCAAAAATTAAAACTGATCGGTCTTTTTGGAAATGAGGAAGTATAGGTCCTTTGTAAAAACTTTAATTGAGGCTTGATGTTACATGATTGAAATTTGATTTTATAAAAAAGGCATTGTCTTCATGTTGCAGTCTTTTATCTGACCTTCATCAGGCTAGATAAAATAATAAAATTGTCAACAATAAAAAATGTTTGCAAAGCAATCAAATAATAATAAAACCTAATTTAAAATCCAATCTTAATAAATTATTCAATAAAAATGGTAACCACTGAACTTATGGTGGCCCCCCTCTCATGCTTGTCAAATAAGGACTAAAAATAAAAATAAAGCTATTGACCAGATGGGCAATCCCTACCCCCACCTCTTGTTCACATTGGCTGCCACTAATTTTATGCGGTCAGAATCCTCAAATTTGAGTACTTTGCACAGTCATGCATATTAGTTCATTTTTTATAATTCTATTGTTAATTTCTAATTTTTCTAAAAAGTACATTATCCCAATCGAAGGATTAGCTGTGCAGGAACAGTGGCTTGGCCTGCGTGTTCTCCAGACCTTACACCACTGGATTTTTTTATTTGTGGTGACATTAAACGAAAAGTCTATGCAAGTCCGGTCAATGACCTAAATAAAAAAATTACATAGGTATCTGTACGAAAAGTGAAATGAGGCTGACATATTTAAAATACAAAAATATTATTCTTACATTTATTCGGAATATTGATTGCTGAGGAGATGGAAAAATAAATGGTGTTTGAATGAGGTCAAGAATGAGAATTTACGTACGGAAGTAGTCATGGAATTCCAAAACAAGGTAGCCCCTATGAGAAAGAATTTTTTAAAGGAAACAGTTCTATAAGAAGGAATAAACAGGTTTGGGGGCTGGAATCCCATGGTAAACGTATGGAACGAGGAGCAACAAGTTAACAAATCAAGAAGGTGAGAGGGTTTCGGAAAAGTAAACCACCTGGGAGATTTTGCTGTCGGAAAACTGGGTAGAGTCATTTAACTTGGCGTACCAACTTGGAACCTGGGGGTTCCAAAGATGAATCTAATGAAGCAATGATAAAAAATTACTCCCAGACTTTTTACAGAGGTATGAAAATGAATAGGTAGTTCATTGAGGTATAATAGTAGATTAGAAGGAATGGAATTGATAAATACGGAGTGGCATTGATATATCATGAGATATTGATTGTCCAGTTACTGTAAGCAGTTATTCATTGTTCCTGCTTCTCCATTCGTTAGTTCTCTGAACCCAGATTATTTCAGTTACCATGTGAAGGTTTTTGCTCTCAAATTTCCAAGTTATCTTTCTTGGGTACCAATTAGTGCCCAGTTCTCGATGTCTGTAGCAGAACTGGGTTTCTCACAGTATTGTACGATTTGAAATTTTTAAGGACTTCAGAATCCTTGAAAGAATCCTATGATTGCTCTATTTTCTCTTGTTATATTTTGGTCTATTTAAAGATATTATTTAAAGAGATTATTGTAGAGATTAAGTATTTGAATCTGTCAGGAAATATTTTTTTCTATCTTGGGCTAGATTTTTTGACTTACTATTGTACATGTATTTTGATTTATGTCCAATTAAGCGAGGCTTATTTTACCTACTTCATTTACCAGAGTTTTTGTGAGTCGCTTAATACCCTTCTGATTGCTTCTAAGGACGGTTATATCATGGATATACCCTAGAATTTTAATTGAATAATTCACTAATTCTGAATTTCAACAATCCATTTCCACCTGATGTTCTTACAAACATTTCTGGTTCAAATTGAACAATATCGGCAAGAGGTCATCTTGTCCCAAACCCAAACCAAACGAAGGTCTCAAATACTTCTCCTCATTTAATGACTTTGCATTTAACATCGTTAATGCCTTCTTCACATTCTCATTAACTTTCGAGTAACACCCAGCTAAATCGTGATCTTTCAAAGACATTTTCTATCCAGGAAACCTTATTAATATATACAATATATCTTAAATTTGACCTCTTTCTGTCCTAATGATACTTAAACTGATGAAATGTTTACTAGTTCATTATTTATTAGTAATTAAGAGACTTCATGGTTTGTTTTGGAATCTTCCTTAAATATATTAACAGTAAGTTTTGCCTTACATTAAAAATATTATATTTTTTTTTGTCACTTTTATAATATGGGTAATCAAAACATATTATTAATAGTTATACATAGTTATATATTAGGCAGACCGGAAAGTAATGTCGTTTCCGAGCTTATCACTATTTGGTTGTCATTTGGCAGATCATTGTGTACATGTATGTCGTGGCGAAGGCATTCAAGGTTAGATTGACATTTTTAGTTGTAAATACCTTTTTTTTTTTTTTTTTTGGCAATTTCTAGTTAAACGGTCAGTCAAATACCAGAAGACGTATATATCCGGCATTGCTTTTTGAGGTTCGCAAGGATAGTAACGCAACAGTTGTTACCAAAACATTTGCGATGTTTATCCAAATGCACTAGATGTTCGTAAATGCCAAAGGTGGTTTTTCAAGTCCAAATTCAGTAATTTTAATCTTTTCAACTCGTATCGATTAGGAAAACTGTAGATAATGACGTCGAAGCAAGTCCTTGTCAGACAATCATTTGTCAAACAGTTTTAAGCAATCTTGGTTGATCATGCAAGAATCTTTGTAACAGATTGAGAACCCACCAATTGAAACTAATTGCTCCAACGACACAATACAGAATTGATCGCCTTAGATGAAAAATGGGTCCTCATCTAAAATCCAATGATAATCCGAAACGCAAAAGGCAGTGGCTCTCTCTAAGAGAATCCTCACGAAATACTGCTAAGCTAGATTTACACCCGAATAAAGAGCGTTTTGTGTGTTTGGTGGAGTATTCCCGGCGTTGCTCATCTTGAAGTGCTGGAAAAACTGTGAATGCACACCTTTAAGGTGTAAATTTGGATCTTGTAAATCAATCTTTAATTTAAAAGAGACCAGCGATTTTCAAAAGAAAAGGCGTCATTCTGTAACAACAAGATGCAAGATCGCACTGCTTGAGACGAACTCTGGAAAAAAATTAATGAATTGTGGTAGGAAGTAGAGACTCATCTACCATACTCAGCCGATGTTCCACCATCGGATTAACATTTGTTCGAATCGTTTCAATACTTTTTAGGTGACAAAAGATTGAGTGGGTGGGGTGGTCGAATGGGGTAACGCGTGTGCACAGCACATTCTTACATCGTTTCAATGTAATGACATTACTTTCCGGTCTTCCTAACTAATACTTTTTATCAAATTATAAATTATATCACCTGTTAGCTGCAAACGAGACCCACAAGTCGATTAGTTCTCTTGATACCTGTCTATCTGCTTCAGTCTCTTGTGTACTTGTTTGTTTTGCTGACAATACATACATCAAATCTTCGCCGTGGGCAACTCCTTCAATACAAAATTATTTGATTAAAGAAAATAATATAAAAGTAAGGTATTTGAATTTGTAATTTTTTTTTTTTTGTATCTCCTGTCACTTTTTTGTTGCTTATTCAGAACTGTTACAGATTTGTCGAACAAATATGATTTGAAGGTTTAGATTTATTTGACAAAATTTAACCCGCAATGAGAAAAGTTTTGTTAATAATGGTTAGGGTTTATTTATGAAACAAACACTGATAATTAAGAAACGTTTATAGTGGAAGAACACTACAAACACAGAAGCCATATCGAGAGAGTATACATTGTTGTGATCACTGACGTCACATCTGACAGTGTTGCCAGTAACAGTGTTGTAGGTAGAATATACAATAACAAATAACATCAATTAATTAATCCTAACACTTTTGACGCTCTGAAGATTAATATTGCTAAGTATTTAGAAAATTCGTTATTCTCAAAGTTAACCAATTTTGTGTTTATTTATTATTTATTATAAATTTTCAATGAAAAATTAATTCTTTTATAATATATGATTTCTAACTATAAATAACTATTAAGACCAGAAGAAAATTTTTATTATTAAGTTAAAAATAACCAAATTTTTCTAATTCATATTTATAAAAATAATTAGCGTTAAAGATAACACGGTTTAAATTCCGTTTTTTTCCCTCAAGCAAGTATCCTGTTATATTTAAGATAAAATAAAATTTCATAAAATTCTATTTCTTTATTCATAAAATATGTTTAATGAAATGTTACTATGATGAAAAATTATACATGAAAATTTGTTCCTGAGTTTTATAATTAATATGACAGATTTAATTAGACAGCATATTTATGGGAACTGATATTACTAAAAATGATGGATGATTTTAGAAATCTCAATTAGTCCTATCTCGATTTATACATCCATATCAGAGTTTAGGAATATCATACTTCTTTCAATGACTTTTACTAAAGTTGTAGTACGAATTTACCGAAATTAAGATTCGTCACTTAACTATGAAATTTCCTTTCGTTTGAAATTCATCAAGATCTGTTGCTCCTGAGAGCCGCAAAAGGGATTTATAATATATTCAGGATGCCTCAGTAATCAATGGCAAAACTCTATGAGGTGATTTCAGACAAAATTTCCAACAAAAAAGATTGCGAAAGGAAAAAGAGTTAAGGCCAATCTCGTGTCATTCTTAAGATGGTCACGTTTTTTATTGAATAAGAAGGAATTGTTCAAAAACTCTTCAAGATAATTAGATTCTCAGTGCACCATCGTAAATTAGTGGAACTTTTCATTACGATTTTAAAATTAACTTTCATTACGCACTGCTGTTACAGTACCCAAACACGAGCAGTACAGTCTCCTGGGCAGCAGTATAGCGGCCGTATTAGATACGTTCCTTGAAAGTTAATTTTTTCATTAACAGTAAATTTTTTTTTACTAACGATATTTAGAACTGTATTAAAGAAATACATCTAGTAAATTTGAACATACGGATATAATGACATGAAAACACTTGCTGAGTAACTACCCAATGGTAGCACTCTAATGATATGTCTACAGTAGAAGATCACGGGGCCATGTTATTTTCAGACGCCTCGGAGGGTTATCAAGAATTGAAGAGGAAGCAAGGTTAGAAACGAGAGGGTTGGGATGATTCTGAAGTTTATTATGGAAGGATAGGTATCTGGATTGGGCCAGATCTGAAACATAAGAAACATTAAGGCCATTATGGATGGTTTTATTTGTAACAAAGTAGGGAGCATTGAGGATTTTACGAAGGATTTTGGATTGTAAGGGTTGGATACGAGAGGAATTCGATGCTTTAGTGAAGCACCATAGCTCAACTCCGTAAGTCCAAATAGGCCTTATTATAGTCATGTATATGAGTCTTTTGTAATTAATTGGAAGTTTAGAGCGTTTGTCTAGTAAGTGCTGGAGTAAGCTGAAACGTCGAGCGGTTTCAGTCTGGTATGTAATAAATTTAATCACAGTTTTCTTAAACAAAACTGTATCTACTTTACGATGATGTACTTGGAATATAATTATCTTGGACAGTTTTTAAGCCATTTCTTCATATTCACTAAAAAAACGTGTCCACCTTAAGAATGACAAAATTGTTTTAACTCCTTTTCACTTCGAAATTGGCTCCCATCACTAACGAATTCAGGATTTAATTTGGAGCGCACTTCAGCCGGAAAGATTTTTTTTTTTGGTGTATATATTTGGATAATTGCTTCAGAATGAAAGAAGCTAACTACCTATATGAGATGATGTTTTAGTGATTTCTTAACTCCTATTATATGTAATTAGACAAACAATAATACTTTTAAAGATAATTTTTTTTATAAAACATCGTTATATTTCACTATTTTGGGAGAGGAGGGGTCCTTCAGTCCAAACGCCCCCCTCCACCTCGTAGACCCGATTGTGGCTTCCATACATCAAATTTTGTCTAGAATCGACTCCCACAGTTTGGCAATTAAGAACTTTGGTAAAATTTAGCCATATGATAATATGGACATCAAGAAAACCTAGGTTATTTAGTACAGAAAAATTGAATACTAACCCATATCCTTAGGCATTCCCATCGTCGATGCATAGGAATATTTCCCAGTATATGAAAACCTGAGCATGTAGACTGGTGAAGTGTTGATGCTGGAATGGACTCTGGCCATTTTGGCTGTTCCAGCTACGACTATTCTATCACTCAAAGCCTGAAACAACAAATGAGCCTGATTTATATAAAACAAAAAATATATGGATGTTAAATATAATTTAAACACGAAGAGTTGGCCGGAGGGTGGGGGCGGGGGATGGCTAGGGGTTAGGTTGCGGTCATATGAATACTATATGATTTTGTTGTGATAATTTTATTGTTTACGCCGATGTTTCGCCCCACTTTGTAGATCTTAATCAAGGCTACAAAAGATACAAAAAATAAAAGGTACATGGTGAAAAAAAAAAAGAATTATTAGTGATATTAAGCACGAAATAGTTAAATAGATAAAGAAATATTAAGATGACATCAGAGATACATTGTCACAATGAAGTTAAAATATCATGTATTACATATATATATATATATATATATATATATATATATATATATATATATATATATATATATATATATATATATATATATATATATATATATATATATATATATATATATATAAGATAATAATAATATAATAATAAAAGACTTAGTGAACCCGAAGGTTCGATGCTGACACCACCAATCGCTTATTACACACCTCCCTCCACCGTTCGCCGTCCAAACCCAGTCACTTCAGATCGGCTTTAATGCAATCTTCCCATCTTCGCTTCGGTCTACCTCTCGGACGCTTACCATTCGGCACAGCAAATATTATCTTTTAGGAATTCTTCGTTACTAAGCCCAACAACTTTACAAGCGCATTTGGCTCGCCGCGACGAAATTACCTCAGTTATATTACCCGGATACAGTTCACGCAATTCGGCGTTGTGTAACCGTCTGAACTCTCCGGTTAGCTCATCCTTCTTCGGTCCAAATATTCTACGCAATACTTTATTTTCAAAAACCTTAAGACGCTGCTCATCCCTTAATGTAAGCGGCCAAGTTTCGCATCCATAAAGAACTGTAGGCAAGATAATTGTTTTATAGATTCTAATTTTTAAGTTCCGGGACAAGAGGCGCGAACTGAGTAGTTTTGTCACAGAAAAATAACAAGCATTTCCGCCTTCAGTCTAACCTTAATCTCTTCTTCAATTTCGTTTTTTCTAGTTATCGTAGAACCTAGATACCTAAATTTATCTACCTGTTCAAACATATTACCATCTATATCGATATCACCCGTAGTATCACCATTTTTGCAGCTAACCATATATTTTGTTTTATCCACGTTTATTTCGAGTCCTATTTTTTTGCCGGCTTTCATTAACGTTGTCGTATTTAGTTTTATAGTTTCAACGTCTTCGCTTAACAGTACCAGATCATCAGCATAGCCCAGCACGGATGTTGTCCCATCCAGATCCAACCCTTTCTCGGTTCGCATTACTTCCCTAATGGCATGTTCTAATGCTAAATTGAGCAGTACAGGCGAAAGGGAATCCCCCTGTTTTAAACCCGAACGAACCTCAAATTTTTCCGACAGATTATTACCGATTCTAACTTTATTGAGTGTCTCCGTCAAGCACATCCTCACTAGATTTACTAGTTTTTTTGGAATCCCCTGCTCGATTAGAATATTATACAGTTTCTGGCGGTCAATAGAATCGTAAGCATTTTTAAAATCTATATACAGCTGGTGAACAATACCGTTATACTCCATTTTTTTCTCTAATATTTGCCGTAAAGAAAATATTTGATCAATAGTCGAGCGATTCCGTCTAAATCCGCATTAGTAGTCTCCGATAATTTCCTCGGCGTATTCCGTTATTCGACTGGTTAAGATTAAAGTGAATATTTTATAACATACGGGAAGGAGTGAAATTCCTCGATAGTTATTACAATCCATCCTCGGGCCCTTTTTGTGAATCGGAATAAGGATAGATTCTTTCCATTCCTCAGGTAATTTATCATTCACACAGATCTTTTTAACCAACCGATGTATTTTAGAAACTCCAGCTTCCCCGCATGCCTTAATTAGTTCAGTAGGAATATTATCGGTTCCCGCTGCTTTATAAGATTTTAATTTTCCGATAGCTACTTCAACTTCCTCTTTACTTGGTCCTTCTATTAACGGTTCAGCACTCTGGTACTCAGAAGGAGGAAACAGATCATAATTTCTCGTATTTAAAATATTGTCAAAGTGGTCCTTAAACTTATTCAATATGTCAACCGGTTCGGTCAGAATATTGTTATTATCATCCCTAATTCCAGACGTTACGGGCTCTACACATTTTCGTGATCTGTTTATACCTTTGTACATGTCTCTTACGTTATTTTCGATTCTATTTCAATTATTTTATTTTTAAGATACTCCCTTTATTTATTTTTGAGCAATTTTGTCGTTTCGTTCTTTGAGGTTCGGAAGTATTCCAGATTGTCTTCGCTAGGATTATTTAGAGCTTTTAATTTAGCGGCTTTTCTTTTTTCGCCAGCTATGTTGTATCAAGACAGGATCGATTTGATTTCGTTTTTGCGAATCCGGTGATGTCCAAGTATATTTATGAATATCCTTATGTTTAAACGTCGTACTTTTAATTATCAGGTTTTTCGAGATGGCAAAGTTTATCAGACAGATCCCATTATCATTACTATATTCGTGCAAACTTTCTTTACCAATCGTCGGAATATAAACTTCTTCCTTTCCTACCTTTGCGTTCGCATCACCTACAATTATTTTCATGTAGTTTCGCGGTAGTTTATCATAAATCCATTCGAGTTTATCGTAAAATTCACTTTTGACTTCATCGTCACTGTCTTCGGTCGGAGATTGTATGTTTATTAATGCGATTTTAAACCAACGTCCCTGAAAATATAGCTACCAAAATTCTATCACCAAAGAAATGTACGTCCCTTAAAGCGGATAGTAATCTACTCCTAATTAGAAACCCGGTACCTAAACAATGATTCCTGCTTCCTCCGTACCAAATAGTGTACTTTCCTTTCCTCATCGAGCCCTCCCCTGGTCAGCGAACCTCTTGCAGAGCCACAACATCCGATTTGTACCCATTTACCTTATTTGCGACTGATTTTAACCCCCTGCTGTGTTTAAACTCCTTACGTTCCACGTACCAATATTTACATCCCTATATTTCAACTTGCACCATGAATCCCTTAAAGCAGTCCCCACCCGGAGATCCAAACGGGGGACTAGTTTACCTCCGGATAATGAGCGTTTTATCTTAGGGAGATCCATGATTATTTGTGGTGTTTGGTGAACTAAAGATATGTGAGTAGGGCGTTCAATCCTACGTCACACCCTCCAGCAAGTCTGGTGGGCCCCTACCTCCAGCAAGTTTGGAGGTCCCCTCCCTCCAGCAAGTCTGGGAGGCCCCTCTCATTGTTGGTCAGCGACTCCATCGGACTTAGCCGGGAGGAACTTCCATGGAATTTCCACCGACCATCCCCACATCCGCCACCCGTAAGACGCTCCCCATACGCGGTAATGAGCCCGCGCGAGGATATATATATAAGATACAAACAAAAATAGAAAATAGGTGTGAATAAAAATATAAAACAAAGGTGAATATAGCATGTTAAAAATAAACAGATTGTGTTAATTAAATGATGATCGGCATGTGATGAATGGCATAATAAATTAAACACCTTATTTATTTGACTTTAGCGATGAATGTCAGTGAGATATCTCTTATTTCTAAATTGAATGAACAATACCTTGAGAAGGTTCTTCTGGCCTTCTTCAGAATCTACATCGATGTTGTAATGGTTTTTAATCTCTTTGGATACTTCTTCCCTCTTATCAGTAGGAGCTGTGTAATTGTAATCAAACAGGTATGGCGCTATTCCGTTCCAGTCAGCTTTAATCTCGTTGTTCAGATTGGGATTGGTTATTATATCTGTAAAAGTTATAATCGTTAAATTAAATATTCCTTAATAACGAACCAATGATAAGTTTGATTATTACCTATTGCAAAAAACATTCCTTCGTCCTTAGTGAATGTAATCATCATGGGCACATCCGAACTCTTTCCTTGTTTGATGAGGTTGATCGGAGTGTCTGGAAGGAATGCGTTCGGGCCTGGAGGCTCCACGACCGGGCCAAATGGAACTACCGGGTTGTAATACCAACCCTGAAAAAAATCAGTTGTTATAATTTGTGGCTCTGTTCAACTTAAAGCACACCAGTGAAGTTTTTTTATCACTTTAGTAACAGTGATTTCGCAGTTAAAAACGATTTGTAGGAAGATTCCAACACGATCACCTGGACTATCACAGGATCACGTCGGGGTCACCACTTGTTGGGATATCCACAGCACTGATATTACTCACTCTATTTTTTTATCTTTACTATTCGTCTTTCTGTCTAATCGATAAGCAAGGAGATTCGATCAGAGATCGATTTGAATACAAAATGTAAAACCGCTATAAAACTACTCATACCAAATATGATCCCTGCAACTAGTTTAAGTAACTGTTCTTAACTGTGATATCTCTAAAGTGATAAGTACTTAAAGTAGAAAATAAATAAAATTGAATATAAATACATTTACATTTGTTAAATTTTAGTTTTAAACTTACCAAGAAGTTATTCGTTGTTTGGACAATGTGTTCGGCGGGGCGCCGCCTGAGACATTTTATCATTGATAAGGAATCAACATCAGGGCAACCTAGCTCTCTAGCCACGACGAAAGACTTTTCTCTGACGTTTTCGGCGACACCCCACGGGCTCAGAGAAGAACCGCTGACACAAATCGCTGCTTTGAACAGACCTGCGGGCATTTGTATATGTTTAAACTAAATGTTAGAGAGTTATAGTCCGTGGTACAGACCCATTTTGGTCACATTATTAACATTCGTCTAAAACTTCGAGAATGACATCATCATATTGTAAACTATTGGGTTGGAAAATAAGTCCTTTCGGTTTTTACGTCACCATGATACACTTCTTATCTGATAAATTAATCCCTAACTTAGATTGTTTATCCTGTTTGTAATATATCAATAACAATATTTATTGTTAACTCTTGTTGAAATTAGCTTAGTATTGTGTTTGCTATTGCACTGTGAATATGGAAGAAAATGTCATTCATTATCGGCATATTTTGTTGTATTATTTTTAAAATGGTAAGCGTGCTGCAGAAGCTCATAGAAAAATGTTAAGTGTTTATGGGGATGATGCCTTAATCGAACGCACCTGTCAAAATTGGTTTGCCAAATTTCAATCAGGAAATTTTGACATCAATGATGTTCAACGGTCTGGTCGCCCAAATGAAATTGAAACGAGCAATGTTAAGGCCTTTGTTGATCAAAAAACCACCCAATCAGTGCGAGAGATTGCTATGGCCTTAAATGTGTAGCACACAAACATAGAAAACCATTTGCACAAGCTCGGCTATATTTCCAGGCCTAATGTTTCACACATTTTCGAAAATCACAAAAAAATTTATAGGTTCAATACGACTTATACGGCCAATTATCGTATATTAAAATAAATGTTATGTGTATAATACATCGAGTTTTATTTTCCCCTGAAAAACCGAAAGGACTTATTTACCAACCCAATATATTTTTTTCACGAGAATTCTCTGAAATGGGGCGTTTCAATATGAAGATCGATTCACTTGGTCTATTTAATGAGGTAATTAAAACTCATCAACACCTGTTTGCTTCTTACTTAAATCGAAAGATAATTAGAACGTGAAATCTAAGAAAATGGTGGCCTATAAAAGTTTGGACAGTTTAGCATGACATCAACCCTCAACATATCAAAATAACGAGAATATGCAGACCAAACGGTCCAATATGTTGTAGGCTATTGCGGAAAGCAAATGAGAATTCATAGATTTTATCATAGATTTTATCATAGATCGCCTCAAATTAATTATTTTATGAGATAACGTCCAATGTCTCAGAATTTCCGTAAATAAAAAATTTGTAACTTATAATTTGTGGTACATACCTCTTTTTATCACATTATTAACATTCGGCTGAAACTTCATAAATACCTTCATCTAATCGTAATCTACAAACATTTTATCTACGAAAATTCTCAGGATTGGGGCGTTTTAATTTGGAGGTTGGCATACTTTGTATATTAATGAGGTAATAAAAACTCGTAAATACCCATTTTCTTTCCAATTTAATCGTAAGATAACTTGAGGACAAAGTCGAGAAAAAAGATGGCGTTCAAAAATATTGAGCCGTTTGCGAGACCTACGAAGTTTCAGGCGGATGTTAATAATTCGATAAAAAGGAGTCTGTACCACAGTCTATAAACTAAAATGTGAATGAAAGCAGATTGTGTACACAGCGGTAAATCAAAATGTAACAGATTCATTTGCAATAGAGATTGTAATTAAGACATCGGTTTCACATCATTGTTGCAAACGTCCGTATAACTTGAAGATAACTTAATTAAATAAGCTTTAGATAATAAATGTAGAAGATAAATTAAGATGAAATAATTTCATATAATCCTCCAAAAAGATAGGCTTACCCTTGCTGAGTGGAGACAAGACATGATAATGAACACTGCCAGATCCAGCCGAGAATCCAGTCAATGTTACGCTGTTGGGGTCCCCACCGAAGGCTGCGATGTTTTGCTGGATCCACTTCAAAGCGAGTACCTGATCCTTCAGCCCGTTGTTACCGGGAACAGCCACGTCACCAGTGCTCAAGAAACCTAATTAGCAAAGAATAGCATACTTAGTTTACTTAGCATACCACTCTTGTTTCACTACTCTCATGACAGTAATGTTTAATTCATAACCTCAACATCATTGGCAAGCAATCAGTCCTTAAGGCAGTGACAAATTTCTTATTTAATGAACTCATTGGTTACAGACACGTTGATATATTTAACAACCTTCGAGAGTTTTGGATGAGAGGTGCAACTTTTGTGATACTACTTGGTATGCTCAATTTTCATAAAAATTTATTTAAGAAAAAAAATTACTTTGGTTAAAAAAACAAATTAGTACAAAAAATGAGTAGATTAAGAATTATGAATCCCTCTGTAATGCCAAATCGAGAGAATATTCAGTAGATTAAAAATCAACTTGACTGAGGATAAGACACACAACTATGAAACACTAACAACTATGAAACACTAGAACCTTATCATGAAGGGGCACCACCTATGTGTGAGGTAAATATTTCCTGCTGAGTAATTTTGATGACGTTGCACATTCAGTCTGTTCAACGGGATTCAATGAATGGGAAGGTGTCCTTGACTAGCGCACTGCGTGGCGTTAGTATGAAAAATTTAGCTATGGAGATACGACGTTGGAAAGAAAGAAGGACTTCGGACCAGGCGATCACAGAAGGGTGTTTCGTGACGTAAGATGTGCCATCGAAATTTTTGAGGGGAACACATTTAGACAGGGTATTACATTTCTGAGGGGAGCACATTTTGGCCGGGTCGTGAATTTTTGGACTGGAAAGTTCCAAACTAAGGACAAGAAAAGGACAGGAAACAGATCGCAGTAAGTGTAATAGGATATTGCACCATCGACCTTGTGGGGGGGGGAGATGGGTTCCCCTGCTCCAGGCGACCATTAGTGGATATTGATGAGGTTCTGCATGAAGCTGTTGAGTCAACTCCGTCCACAAGTACTCGCGTTCTTGCCAGACATTGTGGTGTATTGAAAGATACTGTTAGTTGTCATTTATTCCATGGAGAAGGAAAAAAATAGCAGTATACTGGTCTCTAACTAACTTACTCCTCCGCAATCAGCTAAGAGGTTAGAAATTTGTCAAAATTTATTGAAAAACCCTTCTGATATAAACTCCTGCCTCATCCACCATATAGACCTCGCATCATCGGATTACTACTTATTTAGTTCCATGGCCATTTTCTTCAAGGATAAAAATTTGATAATTTTTCTGAAGTTGAAATTGCGGTCCAAGAGTTCTTTGACAGCCATCCCAAAGAATGGTATCATCGTGGAATCGAGTAATTGGCTATCAGATGGCTAATGACTATAGATAACAATGGACTATACTTTGAGTATTAATTGTATTTTATATCAATGAAATAATGATACAAATATTTGGTTGAAAAACGGTTGTTTTTTTTTATATTCCCTATTATATAATCAAACAAAAATAAATTTCTTCTATAAATATATAAACGTTGTCAAGAAAAGTCAACAAATAATCCAATTTAACAATAGCATTATTTTTCCACAATATATAAATAAAGTTATCATAATTTGGTGTTGACAGAGCTCATACTTTCATAGAAAAATATATTATGGTAAATTTATTTTCTAACTGACGTATCTATCGTTGACGATCACGTATACTCACATTAGTAACTTTATAATAAAATTCGTATAAAAACTTCTAAGGAGTCGAAAAACACGCTTTTCTCTCATTTAATTTTTCGGAAAAATGTATTCACAAATAAGACTGAAATTTTAAGATTTAAAGTAAAATGAAGACTGACCTAAAGGTCCAAGGCGATAATTGAAGGAGACGAAGACAATGTCCCTGTCCATGATGTAATCGACTCCTCCGTCCAAAGAGCTACCGACCATGAACGCTCCTCCGTGAATGTGAGCAATGACATGCAAAGGCTTCTGTTCAGCTGCTCCAGTGTTCAACTGTTAAAAAAATATTGTTATGTAAAAATTGAACGATTTCAATATTTTTTTTCAATAACTAATGATGATGAATTATGGCGAATCTATGACTTGTAAATTGTCCCTTGTATTGAAGCAATTGAACCATGTGGAATGTCCTACATTCACGAGGTAATTATTCTCGCGCGCTGTTTGCAATTTTCAAACAAAGAGATACAAAACTTTCTTCTCAAAAATGCCTATCCAGGTTGAAAATGAATCTCTCTAGAAATAACAGTCAGAAGGTATACGTATAATATATCGTTTGAAAGCGCATAATTTTAGAAAAAATTATATCAAATAGATGAAGTTGTAGAAGGTAATAGAGAGTGACGAAAAAAAATATAAATAATAATTTCAGAAAACTAACATTATTTAACATGAATTACACGTTTCCAAGGAAATAAAATGTAATTTTCTTACTAAATGTAAAGTTTTAACACTTTTTTCAAGTTTCAGAAAAGTATTTAAAATCCACTTAAACAAGGCAATGTTATTGTTGAACAAACTATTTCATTGAACTTGTAGGTATCTATTTGCCGTTTATTCCCAAAATATCATAAAGTAACCTTTTAGACAATTAAATTAGTAAATAATTTGATAAATTTTTCCCTAATTAAAAAATTTACAATGGAGTCCTGATGAAGGTCTGATAAAAGACGGAAACCGGTTGCGCAACAGAGAAAAATAAATGGAATATACAGGAAGGTAACGTCTTTTTTTGTAACATTGAATTTCAATCCTGTAATATCAAGCCACAATTAAAGAATGGAAAATAACAGTTTAATAACTAACAGTCCTACCCTCCATAATCATTTATAGGTTAAATATTCAGATATACTTTTAAACATCTCTAGGCATATATGAGCCTGTCGAGGTATATAAAGCTGAGGCAGTATATGCAAGTTATCAGAAGGCCTCGACAGTGCGTGTTCATTATTGAGGGTAAGATGACTGATTGGATGAAGTAAGGTGATTAGATGGATGACCTCGAGGACAGGCGGATCAGCACCCAATCACTCGGCCTGCAGTGTGAGAGATTAAGCTTAACACTCCGCAAGGATGGTAACCACAATCAGAGGGATCGAACTCCGGGCTTGTGGGAGGATGAGATACTGACGGAAGGATCAATTTCCAGACTTAGTTTATAGAATCATAAGTGGATGGATCAGCGTCCAACTTGCATGGAGATAGAGATGAAGAAAAAGGTAAAGTATTTTGTGATATAAGAAGAGCAGAGTTAGTTTAACTAAAAGCGAATATGATACCTATACCTACCGTCTTCATAAAGGTCTACACCCTAAAGGGGTGGGGATCCGTAGACCTGACAATTCGAGATTTGACTGGGGTATTCATTCCGCCATGACTTAACCGGCTACCAAGCGCCGTTACAATAACAGTTATTTTTGAGCTTTGATCAGTATATGTTATCGCCATTAAATTTTATTAATAAAAAGTATTTACAATGAATATGCATATTTCAATTTACAATTTAAGTATTTTATAATACAACAATAAGAAATAAAAGATACAATTTTTGGTATGTTGCACGGGCGAGCTTGTAGAGCTCTGCCTGGTAGCTGGAAGGAGAACTTGATGTACCATGTGGCAAGAGTGGGAACTATGCCGAAACTGTTGCCGCTAAAAGCCTTTCGGTTGACAGAATGACTAACTCCAATTTCAACATTCTTTATTATTAGTTTTAGTGATGTTTCTAGTGGCAAAATTTATACCTTTATTCACCGTTATATATTTCAACACTGTAATCACCTACTCTGGAATCAATTCACTATAAAACAACGTTACTCAAAAATTATGAAATTGGAGTTAGTCATTCTGTCAACAGTGGCTTATAAAAGCAGATGTAGTAACTAGGGTTTTATAGCCTACCGTCGATATAATAAATAGACTTCTTGTAATTGTAATGGTCTTAACGATTTAATATTTTTAAGCTCTAAGCTTTAGCTCCGTTTAAAGTGCACTTCAAACATTTTATAATAGCCCAAAATTGTCAGAAAATATTTTCTATTCAAAGTAGAGAGGTAAGTGAATGTTGTGCGTTGTGCGCACCAGATTTTTTTCTTTATAATAAATATGAAAAATAATAAAATAATAATAACGTTCACAGAATCACATAGGAACCACTCAAGAAGTTGGAATGAAGACGTGAATTGATTCTAGTTAGTTTTAAATTTGAATGATAAGTTATGAAAATACGAACCCTTGGAGTGAATACGTTTACGTAAAGACAGTCTTCTGACCCTTCTAACTTGGATGGCGCTCTGACGTCGAAGATGTATAACTGAAGACATTTTGGTGGTTCTTTAGTAGCGTTGTAAATCCCTAACCATGGTTCTGCAGCCACTGGTTCCTGAAAAGTAATTAATAGTTCAATTATAATAATAATAATAAAAGGCTTAACGAACCCGAAGGTTCGATGCCGACACCACCAATTGCTTATTACACACGTCCCTCCACCGTTCGCCGTCCAAACCCAGTCCCTTCAGATCGGCTTTAATGCAATCTTCCCACCTTCGCTTCGGTCTACCCCTCGGACGCTTAACATTCGGCACAGCAAATATTAACCTTTTAGGAATTCTCTGGTTACTAATCCCGACAACTTTACAAGCCCATTTGATTCGCCGCGAAATAGGTAAATTATTTTCTAAAAATATACTGAATAAACATTCATAATAAAAATCAATATTAATATATAGTGTGCTGGAATATGACCCACCATTCGCAAAGTATATCGATCAGTGATCAAATGACAAGTTAATAATAAAATTAAATAATCCAACGTATCATAAGATGGAGAAACAATCCTTATTTTCTCGAAAATCATAATCGACGAAGGAAATGAGAATTAATTTAAAAGTTCATTTATGTTTTGAACCAACATGTTTACAAATTTCAATAAGCTGTATCTTTGCTAATAATAGTTCGATTTAGATATATTTTTTTTCCTTTTGTAGGGAATTTAGTTATCTTTTAAATAATTATCATACTAGACTGAAACGACAAGAAACCGCTCGACGTTTCCGATTACTTCTGCACTTACTAGAAAAAGGCTTTAAACTTCCAATTAATTACAAAAGAATCATATAAACTATAATAAGGCCTATTTGGACTCACGGAGTTGAGCTATGGGGCTCCACTAAACCATCGAATTCGTCTCGTATCCAATCCTTAAAATCCAAAATCTTTCGTAAAATCCTCAATGCTCCCTACTTTGTTACAAATAAAACCATCCATAATGACCTTAATGTTTCAGATCTGGCCCAATCTAGATATCTATCCTTCCATAATAAACTTCAGAATCATCCCAACCCTCTCGTTTCTAACCTTGCTTCCTCTTCAATTCCTGATAAGCCTCCGAGGCGTCTGAAAAAAAGATGTCCCCGTGATCTCCTAATGTATACATATTAGAGTGCTACCATTGGGTTGTTACATTATGTGGGAAACCAGAAGAAGTGTAATTTTTCAGTTATTCACAAATACAGTTTATTTTCATTCATAATTTTTGACTAAAGTTTCGGGGTGATAGGATTACTTCCTCGTATAAAGGAGAAGGAAGCCTTCAAAGTGGGTGACTCAATCTTGGAATTTGATGAAGAATTAATGGTGATATGGCTTACCGGAAAAAGAAAAGTCGATCATAGGGACCTCAAGTCGACGAAATGAGACATGTATCTCATTAATGTGAAGTTGTATGGCTGGCACGGGCGGATCTACGGGGGGAGGAGGGCTTTCGTGCTGAAGCTCCCCCTCCATATGCTAAAATATAACCTATGATATAATATGTTTTTCGAAAAAAATATTTAAAAAGTATCTCTTAAAGTATTATTGTTCGTGTAATTACATTTAAAAGGGCTTTAGAAATCACTTAAACACCATTTCATATAGGTAGTTAGCTTCTTTCTTTTTTTCCAAAGTAATTATCGTTATTTTTATGAAAAAAAAAATTTCGGGCTGAAGCCCCCCAAAATTAAATCCTGGATCCCTAGTGATGGCTGGGAACCCATGGACCTTTCACTATCTCGAAAATGGTACATTTTTGGGCTTGGAAATGTCCAGGATCGGATATTTCAGTAAATTCACATTTTCGTCCATTCGGTTTTTGTTTTCAAACTATTAAGACATAGTTTTGTCCTTTGGATCGCCGAATTAGTTTGAACTTTTCATTATTAATTTTATATTTACAGAGAGGGAGAAAAGTCTCGGACATGAGTCTGTTTAAGAACGGGCAAAGATGTGTAAATATATTTTTTTCAATTATTTATAGAGAAATATTACATCACAACTAAGGACAATAGTAATAGTGATAGAAGAGTAGGTCATTCACACTTTGTACAATAAATAAAAATAATAATGCTAACATTAAATGTATATAAACTAAAAGAAACTAATCAAAATAACTACTTAAATACACGCATGCTATTATATAATATTTATAATATTCACTCGAGATCTCAGAGCCAAGCGTTTTTCCGCACTCGTGGAAGGAAAGGCAGGACGCTAGGAGATCCCAGCGACTCTCACTCAGCCGCATTATTGATATAAAGGACCAGCAATGAGCAGAGGTGCTATTTACAACCAGACATACATGGCTTGAATAGAGAATCTGGATATTGCCAGAACTCAAAGTATACAGGGTGTTTCAGGATTAAGTGTTCAAACTAAAAAAAATGCACTAAGGACCTTAAAACAAAAAACAAAAATTTCCTCTGAAGGTATGTCCGCTTTGTTTAGAAGATATTCACACTTAAAGATTTTCTTGTTATGAATTATTTACGTTATATGAAATAAATAAAACCTATTTATTTAATTTCAAATACTTTATTAATTAAACGTAAACATTAAATTCATATTAAATGTTGTTCAAAGTAATTCGGGCTGTTGTTGACAATGTGAAGGGGTTCAAATACCATCAGCACGTGGTATTATAGCAAATGTACCAGTTTCTTTAAGACGTTGAAACGTGATGCTAAAGATAGACTTGTTTGGTAATCTTCTACTCGGAATTCGCCTGGTATATTCACGAGGGACAGCATTACCATAGCACAAACCGTATACAAACACCATATCAGCATATTCACCATTAGTATAAATGAAAGGCATAGTGATGAGTAATCTGCGAAAGCCTCTTACAAACTGATAAATGTTATTGAGAGTTCTCAATACTAATTTAAAATAGCATTAATCCTTATGTTGCCAATAATTTTTATACAGTTGGGGGGATAAAAGGCAATATTAGTATTCTCTCTAATCCATCTCCTAAACAAAGCGTTTGGGGATATATCTTCACTTTGAACAAGATTTAATACGAATGTTAATGTTTACATTTAATTATTAAAGTAGTTAGAACAAATAAATATGTTTTATTTATTTCATATAACGTAAATAATTCGTAACAACGAAGATATACAGGTGTAAATATTTCCTAAACAAAGCGTTTGCGGACTTATTTTCAGAGGAATTTTTTTCTTGTTTTCAGGTCCTTAATTGATTTTTGCTATTAGGCCACTTAATCCTGAAACATCCTATATAATATTGAAAATAAATTTGGAATTTAAGTTACTTGCCTTAAACCTGTTCTTGCCGACCGGAGGCTTCGCGTAGGGTATCCCGTAGAACGCTGCGTATGGACGTCCTGCGAGGCTGTCGGCCCACAAACCCTTCAGAGTACCTTGCTGAAGAACCACTTCGGGCTGGATGGCCAGTATCGTGGTTTGGTACAACGCCAAGGTGCACAGCGCGAAGCTCAGCATCGTTACTGAATGAAATGAAACTCTAAACCTAAGTGATACTAATATGAAAGGGGCATCGACTTTATAAATAGATTTATCTTAATATAAACACTCGAAAGCATATTTACATAAGGGGAGAACTTCTAATCGCCGTTATCTTATAAAAACTTTCAACAAATTTCAATAAAAAAATGCTTCAATCTTGCATCATGCAAATCGTTCTATCGTTTAACTTTTCACTAAAACCTGCAATTTCATTACTAATGTTCCTCACCACACTGAATATAACCTTGTTATCTTATCATTAATTACTGAGAACTAATGGGTGAGTAAACAAAAAAAATAAAAGGCTGATGAAACTAATAAAACTATGTTTAAGCGATCCGCTATTTTCCAAAACCGCTTGACCGTACAATATTTTTTATACATGGATACATCCTGATTTTCTATATTTGAATCGAATAGTAAGTTAGAATATTACGAACGTGAAAATAAGTGTTATTAAAACAAAGGGATCTTTAACGTCTGACAGGTATTGTCTTCATTAAAAAAATGCTTAAAAGTGCTTAAATGCCAAATTTTAAAATCTCTTCCTCTGAAGTACCTTTAATTTGGATTATTTAAAAAAAGTGAAGCAATTAATTACATCTAGTTTTTGAAAAACATGTTTAAATATAAATTATGAACGAACTTGATATTTTACTAAAGGGGCCCTTACTTGGTCAATATTGTTGAGTCATTATCAAATATATTGACATACACCACTTTCAAAAATATTTATTGATTCAATATTATTGAACGTGTAAGGTGGGCTTTAAGAAGGAAGAATTAGGAGTTCGGACATTTTTTAAATTTCATTATGCATTTTTAATATTCGTATAATTCCTTGAATCTATATTTACTATAATATTTTTTACTAGGTCATAAATTTTTGTACAGTAAGTAATTGCCTAAGTATATAAGTTATACCGTTTATAATTTTCACTTTCACTTCTCTGCATGAAATGTTGAAATAGGTAGGGTAGTGAGTGAAAGTTGTGTGGTATATGCACCGCACCAATGTCCCGTGTGTATGGCGATTTTCCCAGCAGACATTTTTAATTTTTTACTTTCACTTATCTATGTATGTAATATATAGTAAGTATTGCAATCGTAAAAATTTTAGAATCTAAGTTTTCAACGGAAATACACGTTTTGAGGTACACTAAGTCCAAATAACCATGTCAAGAAAACTGATTGTGTGTATGTTAGTAGTCTAGCTCAAAACCGAAAAGTCGTACGAAACTGATATTACGTATTTAAGATAGGCATATGCCTTAGTTGTCACTGCAACTTTTTCCTTAAAATCGGGATACCGGAAGTGCCACTTTATATCAACGGTGAAAAACATTTTTACATATTTCTCAAAAACGGCTCTAACGATTTTGATTAAACTCGGTTTATCTTTGTATAACTAAGAGCCAATTGCTCCAACTCATTCAAGCTTGGATTGAGCGTTATCTAAGATTAAACCAAGTTTTGTAAGGTCGACATATCAAGATTAAACCGAATCTTAGATAATGCTTAAACTAAGCTTTACTGAGTTAGAGCAACTAGCCCTAAGAAAAAAAAATTGAGATCCGTTTCAATGTTTTAAAGTAGAGCCTCGATACCTCGGGCCAGGGACACACCGACAGCCTCAGCACCGTCCACCAGCACTTATATTAAGCTACTCTTTTAAGCGACAGAGTAGCATTGAAAAGGATACCATTGTTAAACAAAAAAACAAACAAAAAAACTCGATCGAAACGCCAAATAAACAGCAGGATATATAAAATAAAAATTTTGTCTGCACATTAAATAGAATCAACCCGTTTTATGATATTTTTCAGTTTCATACATTGCAGACACCAAATCCACTTAAAAAAAAAAATTTCTGTCTGGATGTCCGCATTGTACAACGAAATTTTGTCAGAAGTAAGCTCGGCAATGGCTTATTGTACACTTTTGAAATGTTGACATTATATTAAGGTTTGCTTGACTTAAAACATAGGGTGTAAATGAAAACAAAACATTGAGTATAACCAAAGTTATGAATTCTTGAGTAATTTGTGTAGAAATCTTGGTTAATGTTGATAATTAATGTTAATAATAAACATATGTTTATAGGTTAAAGAATATCTATATAAATAAAATAAAGATTTTGTCTGTATATTGAATAGAATCTACCCGTTTCATGATATATTTCCGTTTCATACATTGCAGACACCAAATCCCCTTTTTAACAATTTTTTGTCTGTCTGGATGTCAGCATTGTACAAATTTTGTCAGTGGTAAGTTCGGCAATGTCTAATGGTAGACTTTTGAAATGTTGACATTATATTTAGGTTTGCTTGAATTAAAATATAGGCTTTAAATGAAAACAAAATATTGAGTAGAACCAAAGTTATGAATTATTGAGTAATTTGTCTAGAGATCCCGGTTAGGCAGTTACTTCGATTCTAATCCCAACTCTACGGCGAGCCACATTTAAAAGTTGTACAACTCAAATGATGGAAAAAATTATCACAACTCAACAGTAAAAATTCGGAATACCCAACATCAAGCTCTAATTTTACACGGATGTAGGTGACACAATGTCAAATGTTATTTTGGTTATTTTGCCAGCGATAAACTCAGCAGAGTTTAAAGAAGTGAAGAGACTACAACTCTTTTTGATTAATTAATCGACTCCACAATCTCCTCGTTTCATCGTACATAAAAATTAAACACAACAAATTTTAATAGTTCGGTGGTGGTCGGTTTAGTTGTGTGGTGCCTAATCAGCCGAATAAAAATGTTTTTGTTATGACTATTGCGAAACCTTGACTTCCATAAGTCCAGCCATAAAAAATTTCAAAACAACCGCCCTTCTCGCTTCCGACCCAATTTTGTGAAATTGGAATTTGGACCCTCTCTCCCCCCCTTAACTACACACCCGTCAACGACGGGTACATCAGCTAGTGTTAAAATATAATACTCAAAGGTCGATTGAAGAAATTGTGTGTATATATATATATATATATATAAATTAAGACATGACAAATGAAAACCAGATCATAAACTTATAAGAAATAGATATTGACAACCATGTTGAAAAAACCTGTAGAAGCAAAACCAAGAACATTGAGGAGATACAACTTAAAACTATAGCTTCTAAACTGATTGTTTTTTTAAGACTTTTGCAATATGCTTATTGATACTGTTGGAGACCAATGCCGCATGTGTAGGAGAAGAGGGGGTTATTAACAATAACTATCACCAACATTGTAAATCTACCTGGCAACACTGTTTTTGTTTGTAACCTTCTTAATAACTTTTTCATCTCTTAATTAATGTCAGTATGTGTAGTGTTATAATTGATTTATTTAGAAGTAAATTTTCGTTTTGTTTACATTTTGTTTCTTTTTCATCATCACCAAATTCCCAGAACTCTAACAGGTTACGGGCCCAGTTAATGCAAACTAAAAAGTTTTTAACTAACTTTAGTGTAAAAAGTGAACTTTTCAAGGAAGTTTGTTTTAATTACTTTTTTTTTTTCTCTCCAAGTAATCAAGTAAGCAAGGACGTTTCTTTTAATTTATTTACAATGTCTACCATTAGTACATTTGTTCCTTTAGGTTTTGAAAAATTAGAAGGTAGCAGTAACGACATCGACTAGAAATTCGTGATGGAAATTCACTTAATCAACTGTGATTTGTGGGATCACGTACAAAAAGAGGCAAATGATGAAAAGTTGGGCCATAATGCCATGGTATCTGTAGTTTCTGGTGTCAAATCGCACATTTAAGCTGATGAGTTGAAAACTGGTAAAGAGGCATGGAAGAGGCTTGAAGAAATATATCAACCTAAAGGATTTTCGCGTGCGGCCTCTCTTATTGAGCAATTGGTAAATATACGATATACAGATTGTAAGGATATGGCGGAGTACGTTAATAAAAAGGTGAAGTTGACTCAACAGCTAAAATCAATTGACCATGAAATCAAGGATGATGTCCTGGCTGCATTGATTTTTGTAAGTTTAACAGATCATTTCAAACCTCTTATTATGGCCCTCGAAAATTGTGGGGCCACTCTCAAATCTGATTTAGTTAAGGAGAGGCTTTTGGCAGAAGCCAATAAGTACGAATCTCCGAGTGAAAGTACCTCGTTCTCAAAGCCTAGCAGAGGAAGATTCGCCTAATTTTAGCCAGTTTGGGCACTATGCCAATAAGTTTCCTAAACCTTGGAGAAGGAACCAGAATACGGATAGGAGTCGAGAACACTCCATCGACCAGGGTCTTGTTCTGGAAAATTCAACTCTTGATTCCAACGAGTGGTACATTGATTCGGAAGCAACGATCCTCATAACTGGGAGAAAGGATTGGTTGACCAATATTAGAGAACCAAATATAAAATCTACGATTACTAAGGCTTCGGGTAAAAAATTGCCTATTACTGTAGTAGGGGACACACAGGTTTTACTCGAAGTTAGCGGCAAAGCTAAGATGACTTCCATCATCAATGTGAGCTATGTTCCCGGTCTTAGATATAACCTGATTTCATGTGTCGAACTTGGTCGAAAAGGTCTGCGGGCAACGTTTGAGAATGAGGAGATAATTAACCGAAAAACTGGTGACGTCATCGCTGTAGCAGAATCTTCTGAAAATGGCCTGTTCAAGCTTCCCCGTGCCGAGAACTTAAAGATATCCAACGTTACTGCTTCAACTGATGAGGCTTTTCTGTTATGGCCCAAGCGACTCGGCCATTTGAGTTCAGGTGGAATGGCACGCCTTTTAGGTCTTAGCAAGCATACCCAAAAACTATATCCGGATGATAAAACTAGGAAAACTTCCATTTATTTTTTGAAACACAAAGATGAAGCATTGGCAAAATTTAAGAACAGTGTAGAGAACCAGAGAAACAAGAAAATTCGTATTCTGAGGTCTCACAATAGAAATGAATTTGTCAACAAAGCTTTCGAAGAATTTGTAATGAAAATGGCATTAAGCACCAGAGATCGATCGACTATTGCCCGCAACAAAATGGTTTCTCAGAAAGAGTGAACCAGACGTTAGTAGAAAAGGTGAAATCAATGATGCTTGGGGCGAAGTTACCCGCCAAGTACAGGGCGGAGGCTGTGAATACCGCCCGTTACTTAAAAAATATAAGTCCCACAATCGCAGTTAACAACAGGGCACCTTTTGAAGCGTGATCAAATACTAAACCTGATTTGAGAGTATTTGGATGCACCGCTTATGCTTATGTCCCTAACTGCAAGCGAAGTAAGTGGGGCTCAAAACCCAAGGAATGGAAAATTCTAAAGGATATAGACTAATCAACCCTTCTACTGGATGTGTCACCAAATCCAGGGACGTGTTTTTTGACAAAATTTCTTTCAAAGGGGGCACCAAAGAAAACTCAGATGAACCTAACATGGCTGATTTTTATGGAAATCATGAGCTTTCCCAACTTCCGCCACGATTGCAGATTTTAGAATCGGACGGTCGGCTATAAGATAAAGAAGATCTATCTGAAAACAATTTTAAAGAAGATTTATTATCATCGGGTAGTACATCTTCTGCAGCAGATCTTCCAAAACGTGAACTTCCTCAGAGAATGCTGAAATTATCCCAGGGTTTTGAACATTTCACAATGAGTGTTACAATGTCCATTGATTCTTTAGATGATCCAAAAACTTTGGACGATGCTCTTTCCCAACCAGATTCTGAAAACTGGAAGATGGCCGTCAAAGAAGAGTATGATTCACTTCTCACAAATAATTCTTAGGAACTGGCTAATCGCCTTAAGGAACACAACGTCATCAAGTGCAAATGGGTATTCCCAATTGACCATATCCCCACAAACAACTTCATAAGTTTGACAAGTCGGATTGTAAACTACAGGGAACTCCAATGGAATATGGTCTGAAGATTATGAAAAATGAAGATTCTGAGGATGCTGATGTACCTTATCGAGCTGCTGTTGGTTCACCGATGTATGCTGCCAACTGCACAACACCAGATCTATCTTTTGCAGTGGGGGCACTTAGCAGATTCAACTCAAACCCAAAAATGACACACTGGTCGTATCCAATGAGAATTTTTTGGTATCTTCAAGGAATCCACCTAATTTATGGTGGCTGATGTCCTCACAAAAGCCTTACTCAGAGAGAAACATGTGTAGGAGAAGGGGGTTATTAACAATAACTATCACCAATATTGTAAATCTACCTGGCAACACTGTTTTTGTTTGTAATCTTCTTAGTAACTTTTTCATCTGTTAATTAATGCCAGTATGTGTAGTGTTATAATTGATTTATTTCAGAAGTAATATACCCAAAAACTATTTCCTTCAGGAAAAGCACATGGGGCAAATGACGTCTTGGAGTTAATCCATACTGATCTTTGTGGGCCTATGAAAATGAATTCCATGAGCGGAAAATGCTACTTCATCGCCTTCACGGATGATAAAACTAGGAAAACTTCCATTTATTTTTTGAAACACAAAGATGAAGCATTGGTAAAATTTAAGGAATTTAAGAACAGTGTAGAGAACCAGTGAAACAAGAAAATTCGTATTCTGAGGTCTCACAATGGAAATGAATTTGTCATCAAAGCTTTCGAAAAATTTTGTAATGAAAATGGTATTAAGCACCAGAGATCCATCGACTATTGCCCGCAGCAAAATGGTGTCTCAGAAAGAGTGAACCAGACGTTAGTAGAGAAGGCGAGATCAATGATGCTTAAAGCGAAGTTGCCCGCCAAGTAATGGGCGGAGGCTGTCAATACCGCCTGTTACTTAAAAAATATAAGTCCCATAATCACAGTTAACAACAAGACACCTTTTGAAGCGTGGTCAAATACTAAACCTGATTTGAGACATTTGAGGGTATTTGGATACACCGCTTATGCTTATGTCCCTAACTGCAGGCGAAGTAAATGGGGCCCAAAACCCAAGGAATGGAAAATTCTAAAGGATATAGACTAATCGACCCTTCTACTGGATGTGTCACAAAATCTAGGGACGTGTTTTTTGACGAAAATTCTTTCAAAGGGGGCACCAAAGAAAACTCAGATGAACCCAACATGGCTAATTTTTATGGAAATCATGAGCTTTCCCAACTTCCGCCAGGATTGTAGACTTCAGAATCGGACGGTCGGCTAAAAGATGAAGAACATCCATCTGAAAACAACTTTAAAGAAGATTTATTATCATCGGGTAGTTCATCTTCTGCAGCAGATCTTTCAAAACGTGAACTCTCTCAAAGAATGCGGAAATTACCCCAGCGTTTTGAACATTTCGCAATGAGTGTTACAATGTCCATTGATTCTTTAGATGATCCAAAAACTTTGGACGATGCTCTTTCCCAACCAGATTCTGAGAACTAGAAGATGGCCGTCAAAGAAGATTATGATTCACTTCTCACAAATAATTCTTGGGAACTAGTTAATCGCCCTAAGGACCACAACGTAATCAAGTGCAAATGGGTATTCCGAAAGAAATATATAGAAACAATTCTTCATAAGTTTGAGACATCAGATTGTAAACTACAGGGAACTCCAATGGAATATGGCCTGAAGCTTATGAAGAATGAAGATTCTGAGGATGCTGATGTACCTTATCGAGCTGCTGTTGGTTCGCCGATGTATGCTGCCAACTGCACAAGACCAGATTTATCTTTTGCAGTGGGGGCACTTAGCAGATTCAACTCAAACCCAAAAATGACACACTGGTCGTACCTAAAGAGAATTTTTCGATCCGAATTTATGGTGGCTGATGTCCTCACAAACGCCTTACCCAGAGAGAAACATCAGTGGTGCACAACGAAGATGGGACTGGTGTTCAATCCCATGCACCAAGTGGGGTTGTTGGAGACCAATGCCGCATGTGTAGGAGAAGGGGGGGTATTAATAATAACTATCACCAATATTGTAAATCTACCTGGCAACACTGTTTTTGTTTGTAACCTTCTTAATAACTCTTTTATCTGTTAATTAATGTCAGTATGTGTAGTGTTATAATTGATTTATTTAGAAGTAAATTTTCGTTTTGTTTACATCATCACCAAATTCCCAGAACTCTAAAAATTCTTAACTTAATCATGGCAACTTCTTCCCTGCGATTAGAAGGGTTTGATGTGGTCCAGGGCTTTACTGATTTTTTGATAACTGTCAACTTGCTTGGTTGAGTCTCATTCTACATGAACTGCCATTTTGTCTGATATTTCCTTTTTGAGAGTAATACTCATTTCTAGAAGTGATATAGCATATCAGTAACAATCAATAGATAGATAAAAATAACTTTATTCTGGGACAAAGTCCCTTCAGAATAACATAATAGAATAAAATTAAAAGATTATATCTGACCTAAATAGAAAAAAAAAGTAAAGAAAATATTAGGTAAACATACTATATACAAAACAAATAAAACCATACACAAAACACTCAGACTATTACAAGACCCTAAAAACTATTTACAGTGATAAAACAGTATAAATATGATCTTTTAAAAAATAAAAAATAAAATAAAAATACATTAGATTCTTCTTTAAAATAAGCTCTGTGTTTCTGCTGAAAAAAAAAGAAAGCTTAATCAGACAATATAAAGTGCCTGAGTAGTTAAATGCTGAATAATATATAAATACATCATCATCATCTCTTAAGTTAACGATAGGTAAAATTTAATGGTGTATAAAAAATAATTGTTAAAAACAAACAATATATGCGTTCAGCGGCACCAAGAGTAGGAAAATGTAGTTCTATTCCTAGCAAAGAACAGCATTAATATTTGATAATGAATAACTTGAAATCAATTTATAATGTCGAATGGTTAGCAACCATCTGACTGTTTTTTGGGATAGGAATTGAAATAGGAGGGTTATGAATATATGCATGGAATGCTGAATTTTGATAGGGAGAAATTGACAGAATGAGCAATAAAGGAGCTTTGGAATGAGGCAGATCTGTGAGAAGGCATATAAAGGTCAGAAGGTCGAGGTCTTGTGGAAAGGGAATGTACTGAGCACTTGAATCGGAGAAAGTTGTAGGCATAAGAAGGATGATGATGTTGATGATTTGATAGCGGAATGTGCCCAGGAAATATTGTCTTCAGAAGGAGGGAAAGAGCCACCTTAACTTAATGTAGTAGTGAGAGACATGGAAGTATCTCAGTATAATATATAGGTATAAGGTATAGTCAGTCTAGTAACATCTAGGTAGAATAAATTTAACATTAATAAATATGAGAAAAGGCAAATATATGATATATAAATGATGGTACTACATAGCAAAAGTATTTTGGCCAAAGAAATAATAAAACAGAAATCATTTTGGCACAAAGAAAGGTCTGTAACAGAATTAATATCCCAATAGAATACACTAGTGATAAAATAATTCCCGATATTTTAACTAAAAATAATTTTAAAGCGGATATGAGGGAAAAATCTAGTGTCTAGATATCATGACCTTTATAAGGATTTAAACAGCATCTTAGGTGAAAGGCATTATCAGATGTAAATAAAATGCATTTTATGAAAGGTATATTTAAATTGCGTAGACAATTAGTGTTATGAGGAGTGAGCAACAAAGATTGTGTAGCCTTTGTAATTTAAATGAAATAGAAGATGTATACTACTGTTTATCCGATTTTACAGGAATATAGAATCAAATATTTTAAGAAAAAATTCATAAACCGCAAGACATACTCAATAGCAAAGGTTGGAGGAGTTTATATATGTATCATATATATGCTTATAAATATAGGATATAGTTTTAACTAAGCAATACAACACATAACATTCTTTAGTTATATGTAAACAAAAGTAAGTATAACATTAAGGTTATACAACAAAAATTATTTATTTTTTGACAAATTAAAGTTTATTTAGATTAAATTTATCAGGTAGTTTTAAATAACAAGAGGCTGTTTAATGTTTTCAAAGTTAATTGTGTTTATTTATTTTATTATTATTAATTCTTTTCATTGTATGTGTCTTAGGGCAACTCCAGGGTAACATGTATATGAAATAAAGCTTTCTTTATATCTATTTATCTACAAAGTGAAAATTAAAATTAAATTCATTTTTCTTCTTGATATATAAATTTAAAAAAAAGAAAAGAAAAATGTTAATTCAAGCAGAGCTCTGATCTAATTTTACTCTAAGGAGTGAAAATATGAGGATTTGGTATTAACAAGAGGCAACACTGTTTTAGAGTCCTGTTATTGTAAATATTATTTCCTCTGGACAAAGGTAAATAACATTGAATACCAAATATTAAAATGAAATATATAAAAATATTTATTTATTGATCACTTTATTCAAAAGTCCTATTTACATGAATTTCATCACATTTGTATTTTTAATTAAGTAACAATGCACTTATTTCCAATAAAATTAAATTAACATTTATCTATATACACGATTTACAGTTCATTTTTAGTCGGTACCACTGACTCTATGTTTTCTTTTAACTTCAAAGAATCCCAAAAGTTTTCTTCTCCCAGCTCATCGACCATTGTTGGTACAAGTTG